CCTCCTCCTCTCCTCCTCCTCCTCCTCCTCCTCCTCCTCCTCCTCCTCCTCCTCCTCCTCCTCCTCCTCCTCCTCCTCCTCCTCCTCCTCCTCCTCCTCCTCCTTATCCATCACAGCTCAAATTTCATCTGTCATCGCACACCACTTGTGCTATTCGCGTAGCAAATAGAAGGTCGCCGCAAACTGATTCGATGGAAGAAACGCCTTCACGATGATGAGCACCCAGAGAAGTGTGTGCGCGTGAATGTGCAATTATAAATTTACCAAAGCAGTGCGCCTACGACGGTGGCATGCAACTCCGAATAATCTACCGCGGTAGCGAATTGCTCACCCTATCAGCCGAAGTTGGTACTTCCGTGCTGCAAGTGAAGGCTGCCATTGCCAAGGCGCTTCGAGTCCCACCGAAGGATCAAATACTCACGTTCAAAGGTGTATACCTCGAAGACTCGAGAAGGCCTAGAGAATTTGCGATTGTAGATTCTGGCTCGCTGGAATTATGTCTGCCTCCAAATCATCAGAACATTATCTCTGTACGAGTGGTTATTTCGGCAGAGGAAGTCTACACCATTCCAATCGGTTGCAGTGCAACAGTGGCAGAACTGCGTGCCGAGATTGTCAAGCGAGCTAGTCGATAAACCTCTGACCTGTCCAATGCATCGCTTGTCTATTCACATTGGATCTTGGATGATTTGCGACGACTGGAGGAGTACGGGATAATGGAAAACGCCTGCATTACGGTTGCACGTGCACCTGAGCCAGAAGACATTTCAGGGAAGGTGCTTCCAACGCCTTGTCAACGAATGATCAGCGTGAACTTTATGAAGGAGGGTGGTGATCCTTTCACGCTGACGCTGGATCCATCCAAACCGCTCAAGTGTATCGGCAAGAGTGTGGAGGCAAAGACAGGAATTCCAGTAGAGCATCAAACCTTCATCATGCCACGCAAAGCAGTAGATCCAGAGAAGGCACCAGATAGTTTAAACCTCGTGGAAGGCGACAGTGTCTACCTGAGCGACAGTAGAGATCAGGAGCCTAATCCACGAACGGAAGGGAGTTCTGGAGGTTAGAATAAGATGTTGGTCTACTTCGAGGCGAGTGGAAGTCGCATTCTCATGACCATTCCAAGTAAGTGCACCGTGGAAGAAGCACAAGAGTTATATCAAAGTCACAATCATATATTTGGTAAAAAATTGCCTTCTACTACAAAAACGTTCAATTGGAACCACGTCGGTTGTTGACTGACTATGGCATCTCCAATGAGAGTGCGATCCAAGTGAAAGCTTCGTCTCTTTGACAAACAACCCATTATTCCACCAGCCTTTTTTTCCTCTGTTTGTACTTCCCAATTCGCCACGTCGTCTTTCCGTTAATCGCAAATAAACCTTTCTCCTTCTTAAAGTAAACTAAAAAGTGAAAAAGGTTATTCTTAGTAAAGGTTTGTACAGAAAACTTGAGATAGTCTTTAAGGAGTGAGGGATATGCAAAGGGAGGAGATCCACACTCCTTAATTCGCCAATTTCTGAGTTGTGAGTTGGGCAACAAAAATTGTTCTGTTCTGTTTAATAACACGTTAAAGAATACTTTAGGAAGTTTAAAACATGAAAAAGAAATGGTTCTTCAAGTATCAGTGGCTGTGAAACATCTCAATGTCTCCTTTACTCCTCTTTACTATTTACCTCCACTTTCTGCTGAAATTTTCAAAGTAAAGCCATTCCTTCCTTAACAACTCACACCTGACAGACTTAAGGTCTCCGATGGTTAAAATGTTGAAGCCTGCACCATCCTTAGGTGGAAAGATCTCATCATTTTAAAAGCCTCGTTGGATGATTTCACGGTAATTTCAAGACCATTGAATGTTGCAGTACATACGGACAGTGTGTGATTTTAGAAGTAGTCCTGATAACCTACCCCTGAGTTACAAGAAGTAGACAGAATAATGCAGGTCACAGAACCTTCTTTTAGGAGCATGATGATAAACTTAGCATTTACCCACTTGGTAGAAAGGCATCTGTATCAGAAACTAGAGGAAGTGAGAGACGTAAGACTGTAAGAAAGGAGGATGAGGAGGAGGAGGGAGTATTGTCTACTTGTGGCGGCATTTGCTTCTTCTGTAGGCCAGACAATGTAAGTTTTAGATTGGCTACAACTGCTCACCTACCGGTAGGACGGATTGGGGAATTAGGTAGTAAGCCAAATAATTAGTAAGCACTTCTTTTAGAGAAAATAAACATTAGCATTGTCTTTTCGTCTAGGTCTTCCTGTTTTGCTTTGCTTCTCCATCAGCTTTCAATACAGGCTCCCTAGATAAACTCCATTTAGTAATGAACTCAAACTGACCTTGACATCAGCCAATAGGCGCGCTGTTGGTATTATATTGTTATTATTATTCGAATGAGCTTGATTGTTGACTGGATAGCTGTTCCAGACAAGCAATCGAAGGTTTCATTTTATGGCATTTTGAAGATATTTCTCTGTCAGGAGAACCGAATTATTACCTCTGTCATATCAGAGACGATGTTGGGGTGAACAGTCGTGTCCAGATTGACTCGTCTCTTCTTGCAAAGTCGCGGTTTTAAGAAAACCATCTTCAAATTAAAGCATATTGCTTTGTCAGATTTCTTGGTTGTCGTGTAATAGATTTGATCCTCCTACACTATCTAACACCTTAAAATGGCAGTCAAAAGTGTCAGGTGCATATGCCCGTGGAGGAATGAGATCAGACCAATTCTCTTTCGCCCTTGATTGACAGCTAGTCCGAGTTTCCAGTGAACACTTTAACTTGACTTTCAAAAAACATGCTAAAATGTGATAAATTGAGTGAGTATAATCCAGAGGAGGGAGAATCGCTAGGACAGGATCCCAGCTGGAGGTGGTCACTTCAACTTTCCAAATATGCCATTGAGTAAGAAAACTTTATCCCTGTATAATAGTAGATGGCCTGGATGCTTTGAGCAATATAGACAGAGGATGAAAACAAAGTCGGTGAAGTAAGAATTGGCCTCTTCACGATGCAGAGTTTTCGCAAGGACAATACTCTGGTTGGGGATGCCGATGATCAGTCGAGAACCGTGTTGTAGAAAAAGTTACGAGAAGCGGATACAAGGAATTGTCAGATAGAGACAATTTTGATCAAAAGTGCGAAAAAAAATAAACAGCCCCTTCTGATTCACAAAACTCTTCCTCTAATTATTCCTTGCAGTGGTCGTCTGGTTTGCTGGAGGTCTGTTTCACCGGTTCCAGTACTCGTGCTCCTCTACCCCTGGTCAAGCCTTTAGGATTCATTGCAAGTGGATAAGAAGTGCAATGGATGGGTCGCTGGTTTGATAACTCGCTCTCTTGACAATTTTAGCACGCAGTTCTACCACTGCCGCATTGGAATGAGTAGGAATGGCACACTTCTCTAGACATCATGAAGTATCACCTTCTGTTGTTGGATAATTTGATTTGCGCAGTGCAGTGAGAGAACCGCCGTGCATCGCACACCCCGGCGGGTTCTTGCCACCGTAAACGCAGTCTTTATTTTAAATCCATTGGCAGCTTCCTCTCACTGGCTAACTAAACAGCACATTGTGAGTGTAATGCGAGATGACATTTGTATTAAAAATGGTACTGTGATATCTTGGGTGGGGACAATGTGAGAGAAGGAAGTAATATTGCCTTAGATATTAAAAATCACATCAGAGTGGGTCAGTGCCAAATCCGATGCACTTGTCCACTGAACAACGCAGTTGATACCTCATAGGGGTCTTCAATGTAGCAACAAATTCTTCTGCAAGGGTGATGAGCTCTGGGTGACAAACAGACGTATCACGTAGTGGAAGGATGTGCGTGGTAACAGTTCGTCACTTGTGGCACGCCATTTAGGGCGTGGTTATTTGAGTGGTGAAAGTATTATCGACAATATCAACAACTACTAAGTCAGGCGTAAAGTCACTGACTGTTCAGTTCTGGCAATGCAGTCCTCGCATCCACCAGCTGCTCTCCTCTCGACTGTATGCATTGGGGGAGAAGTAAAAGGAAGAAGCACATCCCCTCACTTTAGTACGTACTGTAAACATTTCTGTGACTGGCAGCTCCATGTCGAGACTGCAACCTACATTCATCAATACATCTATAAGTTTCCAGAAGTTTCCCATTCTTTCGATGTTCCAACACCTCCGTCTTGACGCTGTCACTATCTCAAGCGTCATCGGTATTCGCAGTTTCTCCGCAAACCATAATGGCCTCTAATGATCAGAAAGATGGTGAGGGTGCTGAGAAAAGTTTTGTAGTCCTGCATGCAAGATCGCTGGATCGGTTGAATGCGGCTACCTCCTATTAGAAGGGAGGAGGTGGATTTACAGATCATGCAAAAACTACAACGAAGGTTGAGGAAGCCTCAACGCCTAGTTAATGCTCATCTCTCTGGGAGGGCTGCGTATCGCAAACTTGCAAAATAATCGACGTTCCCATCCAAAACGACTATGCACTAAAATATGTTACTTATTATTTAGTTAGTAGCAAGTGCACATCCTGAATATTAACTATTGCAGTTCGTTGATCTGACAAGGGAAAATTCTTTGGAATAATCACGCTACTTCACGTTATGCCATTGGCGACAGAGAAGTCAACGAGTAATGCCAATTGAGTGCTTTTTTTACTCATCTTCTTGTAATTGTCAAAGTTCGGCAGAAATTGTCCAACTAAGTGGTAGTAAGGGGAGCTTCAAATTCCAATCAAATGGAGGGGTTGGGTGACAGGGTGTTCGTGGGCTACACAAATCTACGTGTGTGAGCATTACCACCTCTACCCTCTTCAACTTATCAATTGTTAACTCATTCATACCCTGCTTTCCGTGATGAAGGCAGTCTTTTCACACCTCTGTGATGTAGCCGACACCGCGCTCTTCAAACAGTCAAACTCAGTGGCATAGATTGGACTATATGTTGAGTTGTCTCACAGTGGCCAAAATAAGCTTTATTTCATCTTCAAGTTGGAATAATGCTTTTGACTTAGCTGTGTCGTCGTTGCAGCGGTCAGGAATGTAATATGCATCTCCATGCCTGTTTTCTGTGTTTTCGATGTACTTCCACGCATTCTTGTCGAGATTGGAAGACTGTGCAGTATTAGGTGCCTACGACAGCCTTATCTTTGAAAGCTGCCTTGGTTATTCCTAACATGGTCAAAATAACGTGGTTAGTGGGGGGTCGCCCAATTTTGACTCTACGGATACCGATCGCAGTCACCCTTAAAATTGTCTCGCCTAGAGAGCAGAGAGTTACAGCTGGCAGGATGTCTAGGTTATTAGGCAAAGTAGCCAATCCGTCAGACAGCTACGATGAAGGCAGACGAATTGTCGGTTCATAGACATGGATGCGACACAGGAAGCGAGGCCCCAAATCCCATTATAAAGACCTTATTGAGGAGAAAATTTCAGATATCAAAGTGAACATACTCATCTTTTTGCCATGTTTTGTCTTACATAGCCATTGAATTGTTATAGAACACGAAATTAAAAGGATGACCCCCTTATTTTCCCAGGCAGGCTGATAAGAAGATCCGAATCGGTAAGCAAAATTTTGTCAATTCTACACGAATTAATGCTGGCGAATTCCTTGAGTACTTCCTCAACGCATACAAACCAAATGATGATATAAGTGTTAAAGACAGTCTAACTTAAGAATCCTCATCTCTTGGTGGACCTGCAAAAAATGAAATTTGCTAAGGTTGTAAATGCCATTATTACTTAAATGAGTATCAGTCACTCAAATAAACGAGCATACAACTAGACAATTAGTTTAGGTATTCCTTGACTTCTTCATTGGGTTTTGATGCGGCATCCGCGGACAGCCTTCCTCTTCTTAAATGAGGGTCTAGCAAATCCGAATTTGCCTACGTGACGGGCGGCCGCCGGAGACGCCCATTGGCTAATGCCAAGGTCGAGCGAATGCCATTGCTAACTAAGCTTCATCACGGGACCCGGTAATAGTCTTATCCATAAGATAAAAATGCCTAAAAATAAAATCAAGGCTTTTTTTTATTAAGGAATGGATGTTTTTTTCTGGCCAGGTGCAAGGATATGTGCCAACTATGCCTATCCCTTTCCCTTCTAAAGGTAAAGGAGTACTTTTATACCGCCTAAATCTCCCACTTCACACTGACCTTTCGAATTTTTCAAAATTTTACTAGTTTACCCACACTTCCGCTTAATATGCCTCATCACCGAAGTAGGGGAGAATGGTCGAAGGTAGACTTTCAATGATGCCTCCATCACAGGCGATCAATAAATTCCTCTTCCCTTGTCATACGCCGCCAAGCCTGTATCAGAGAAACCCGTAAGTAGACAAGACAATGCTGCATAGCCACTGCTCTTTATAAAAGGCACGAAAGAGGAAAGATATATATGGAGCCCTCCAAATAACATTTAGGGAAGAATCTCATTTTCTGGCCAAATAATAGGTTTGAATGGGGGTGTATTCTGAAATTTTCTTCACCTGGTTGAATTATCTGTAACCACCTCATGAAGTCGGCCTCTTAAGTACCTTGATTATAGGTGCCAAAGCTGTCAATACCTGTAGCCACCACAATGACAGAAGCGATGGTGACCTTCTCCTTTGCCTCTGCATCCTAACGTCTCTCAGCCCCTCCAACACCCAGTACAGATGTTATTACTCCGAGTGGGAAAGTAGTATTAGAGGATTCTTTCTATTTATTTTGCATCTGATCACAATATTAATTCGGATCATTTAAACAAACCAATGATCGGAATGGAGTTGTCAAGTTAGTTCGCAGTGCAGCCGTACAAATTTAAATAAACACAACAACCTCACGTATGACCTCTTCTTGGTATTCCTCCACCAAGAGTGGCATATACCGTCTGATTACTAAAGATTGTTCCAATACTGGCAAGTAGTAAACAAATCATCGCCTAGCACACCAAGATTAAGGACGACGGCCTAATAAATAGGACTACTGGAGGAATATACGGGGTCAGCGGAAAGCATTGTCACCCACCAGTATCGGTACGACCTCTAATGATGTTTTGGGAAATGGAATGAGTGGAACAGACAACCAGTTGACGGATTGGAGAGTTAAGCCGTAGCATGTCATAAAGCAGGTGGCGGAGAGGTGCCAGTAGCAGGTTCCACTTCGTGTTGCTCTGATTGGATAAAATTTGCCACAATGGACGCAATATGTTGATCGGTCAAAAAATAAGTAAACATAAACTGTTAATACCACTTCACTTGGAGAAATGGCATCTGTACAGGGTATCGGAGGACCCGAGAGACGTAAGACTGAAAGGAAGGAGGAGGAGGCAGTCAACATTCCCGCTGATGTGGTGTCGACGGGTATCGGCGGTGTCAGAACTTATCATTAGGACACCTATAAGGCCGTCTTTACAAAGCGCTCGCAATTAATTGTGCCAAGTCAAAAGCGTCCCGCAGCCAGAAGATGCTTACTCGTGAACACCTTCCTATTCGAACCTCTTTGCGGTTTCCTCGACGTCGATTGGAACAATTTGTTAACCAATCAATGGCCAACATGTCGTTTGGACAACTTCGAATAACCCTGTCTCATTTTGTGCCAATTATTCAAACTTATGCTTTGTTCGATGATAAGCTGACATTTGCAGCATCACCTTGTCTACTGATTGGTTTCCTTGGTAAAGGCCTCACGCAAATGCTGCTGCCAACAGCACATCTTGAAGAAGAATTTCTAAACAAGATGTACAGCGATGGTGCTGTCAGCTGTGCTTTTAAGAGTCGCGAAATATCACACTGACAAGACTTTGGACACAAATGCATCTTTTACCTACACCAAGGCCATTTCAAATGCAATTGTTTCAAATTATAAGCCCGATGTAGATAAAATGGAAAATGTTGTGCATTATTTGCCACACATTAAGAAGGAAAAGTCGCATTTAAGCAATTTATTGTCCGACGATACATTCCTGGTGCTATTGATGCCGAAAGGTTTATTTCTGGATACACGCACCTTATGTGAAATTCATGGATCACTTTTGATGGAGACGTCGTTGGAGGTCTACTTCCACAAGTCGTTGCCGCACTCTGCTGACGGTGAAGTGAAACCAGCAGTCGAGTTAGATACGTGGCATTACAACAAAGATAAGCAACTAGGTTTCTAAAAATATAAGTTTTTTGGTTGAAAATGCTATTCTGCCGTTAAAATAGATAGGTGATGGGGTGGTTCACCACGCCATAAGCATGTACTTCCTACACTTGAAAAATTGGAGTTGAGTTGTCGATTATTTATGCACTTTTCTTTTTCGTAAGGCCTTATTTTAGGCCGATGGAGTAAATGCAATTTTGATTGGCAGTTGCCTGACCTTGACATTAGCCAGTAGGCGCCTTCGCCGACTGCCCTTGGCGCACAGGAATGCAGATTTGCGAAATGCTTACTAACAAATGTCAGGATCAATCCGTGTTAGGTTCTGACCAAAGGTAAACCAAAACAGTCAGGTATGCCTATTCTGAATGAGGGCAGCATAGTGAAGCTAACCATTGACTGGAAGGTAGTGAAGAGAGATGGTATCTTCAAAATTCAATTCTACGGATGTAGATTGCAATTTTCCTCCGAAATGTCATATCAAGAGTGCTGAGATTTTTGGCCAGTGGCAAGACGGAGCAATTAGGAATAGCGTCTACTCCATCCCACGATTGTGGCAAAGGCGTCCAAATATTTGATTTTCAGCTATTGAGGCGACAAGGGAAACGAGGAGTTAAATTTTTTCAGAAATGTCACTAAGGATAACATTTCACTGTCAGTTGTGAGGTCTTGTGATTTAAGGAAAGGTAGGAGGCCGTGTTTGTCACATTGCTCATAGTCCTCTCGTGTCAAAAAAGGTACACAAAGACGAGAAGAAGACCAACAGGCAGGCTGTCAAACCAATCGGATCGCAGAGGATAGCAATACTGATATCAGAGCAACACGTATTGGGCAATAAGTCGAATTGGGCGGTAAATAGTTTTAAACAGCTGTGCAATGCTAGGAGAGAGGTCTTGCAAGAGTTGAACGTCAGTTGATTTATGTAATCAACTTGGAGCCAGTAAGTGAAATTTTAATTTTGATATAACTCGACAAAGTTCCTACTTATTTTAAATCAGTAGCGTTTCTAGTCACTGCATCCTGTAAATTACCCATTGGAAAAAGCGAACTTTGTTTTAGCTTTACTAAAGCCCACATCCCTTTTCTATCATTCCCACCTGCTGGTTTTTAATTCTCTAATCAAGCCCTGTGTAGAGTTGTGGCAATTTGCCTCCGAAATGTTAAAGGTGTTTTATCAGTTTGCTAAGCTAATATCACCCTCCGTATTGGTCCTACTTCACAAATGAAGTGTCTTAATAGAAAAAAGCCTTTACTTACATTGACCGTTCATTTTTAAGTTATTTCTCTTAAACTTAGAATCCAATAATTTTAAACTCTACGCAAAACACCGTGCAAACGGTAGGTACACCTTGATTGATAAGTGCTTTATTACTATGGCATTGATTAGTACGCAGAGTGACTGGCAAGGTTATGCTAATTTTAACTCCATCATCTTTTGCTCATCTTATTTTTTTTCAGGTTCCAGACATATTCTTACTTTTGTTTCAGGACTCACTTAACTGATCGTCTTCTTTTGGGAGAAAAAATTCTTTTCTTTTCCCAGCTGTGTCTTCTCTGTTCGATGCAAATTAGCCAATGAGACTTTGAGGCAAGGAAGTACAAGGGACAAATGAAATTTAGTTGTTAGACTCAGCACCAAAGATACTGCTTATGAATAATATGCTGTGCTTTAATCTGCTCTGCAAGCAACTTGTAAATTCGTCGAAGATGCCACTTTTAAACTCTTGAAAATCTTGCAAATTGAGGAGTTAGTCATCCCTTTAAAAGTCATTATATCCAATGGAAAAATTTAGCCAAAATTTCCGACCGTGGATAGTTTTTTAAGCACATATTAAACCCAATTTTTTGATTGGACAAGGGGCCAACCAATAGAAGAACAGGAACGTTCCCAAATAGCTGAAAAGCAAATTTAGTTTATGGGTAGGTACTTTTGAATCCTTTCAAAGTATTAGGAGCGTTCTAACCTAATGACACAAGTTGTGAATCACCCCGAGTTCCAATCAGATCATAAAAGTGTCAGACGCACACAAGATTTGAGCACTCATTCTCTAGACAGCCAATCAAAGTGTTGAGTGTCTTGCCAATCAGAGAGTTAATAGAATTATCTATAAAATAAGGCCTTTCACCATGTAAAGAATAGACAGTTTGATTCAGATGGCGAAGAAGGAGGCAAAACCAAAGGAGAAGAAAGAGAAGAAAGATAAGAAGGACAAGAAAGATAAGAAGGACAAGAAAGACAAGAAAAACGATAAGGGTAAGAGCAGTAGAAGTGACAAGAAGGTCACCCGGGAAACCCAACGCCTGGAGGTATCAATATGTGGGCATCCCGATGTCGTAGATATGTACATGGTAAAGGTAAGTCCACTTATTGCTTTTGCTTACCTCACTTGTGGATCCTACAGAGCAGCGATTTGAATGCCGTGATAGATAGCTACCAAATAGACATTGATCCAGATCCTGGCACCAATGCAGAAGGCCAAGTGATTGATACAGAAGCTGATCTCTTTCTGTGTGTCTACGATGTACGCAATCGGAAAACAGTTGATTTCCTCAAATCAAAGGTAAATGGTCCTTTGCAATCTCACCTATCTCATTCTAGGTTTTACCAGAGGTCAAGAATTTGAATAAGAAAATGGCGATTGCTGGATTGGGGCTGGAGTATAGAATGGGCGGACGCGATGAACTCGCTGATATGGGAACTGCTTCCTCATTGGCTAAACAGTACGGGTGTCGAGGTGCCGAGCTAATCTACTGTGAAGGTGTAAGTTCCCCCATCTCCCTTTGTGATAGTTTTTTTTGTCTACCGCTAAAATTAATGTGCTTACACGCTTTTTACCCTCTTTTTGTAGGAACAGCTGGCAGCTGGAACATTTTCGCTGTACGCAGCATCGAATCCAGAGAAATACAATAAAGACACTGAAGAAAAGACGGAGGAGGGGGGCGATAAAAAGAAAAAGAAGGATAAGAAAGACAAGAAGGATAAGAAAGATAAAAAGGATAAGAAGGAAAAGAAGAAGAAAGAGAAGAAGTAGTAGGAATGATCTAGCATTTGTAAACTGTCAACTCCTATCATCTTCCCCTGACCCTTCACCAGCCTCCGCCATCTGCTGCGCTCGAACGTACCTGTCAGTTTGTCCACCTGTAATGCCATTCTGTCATTCCTGCAATCTAACCATTAACTCATCTCTTTGCTGCTCCAAGTGGCGCACTTCAAAACTTCTTTTCAAGAGGCTTATCACTTGCCCACTTTTTCGATTTTTATCTTAAAGACCGCTTTGTGGGCATCACTTGAGATTTATCACCGGTACCTTATATATATGTATTATGTATTCTTACACATAAATCCCTACAAGATCTCCAAAACATCGCTTCTTGCTTGGAGAGGGCTTTCCAGAGGGACGTGGCCAGGCAGAGGGTTACACCAGAACCAGTCCTTGCTGTCATATCTCTTCCATATTTTTTGATCGACAGTAGTAATGGAACACCTTACTTCTCTCTTATGCCTAAAAGAAACATACGCGGTTAAAATGTGACATTGATGGACACGTAGTTATTTACAGCTAGGCGCACGCTCCCGAGGAATTGTTTTAGTTAATCTCATTTAACAACACAACATGATGCAATCAAATTTTAATTAAAAAATGACCCATTTAGAGAGGTTTTGCAATTTTGGTCAAAATTTATAACTCGAATAGCATAAATTTGGGCATTATCTTTTGATTGGCCAAGAAAGTGACCAATCGCAGAGTGGGTCCAGTACCCAATGGGAGTGTTGCATCGGACTAGAGGGAAGGGACTAGAAATTTGTGCAACCTTTTCAACAATTTTGCCGGCATAATGAACACATGCGCCTGATAGGAGAGGCAAGTAGACATCCAATCAACTCATGTCACTAGTATGTGGACATACACACATACAAAATGCGAGCAAAAGAAGCAAAATACCAATTAGAAAGGTGCATGATTTGCCAATCGGAAAGCAAGTTTATTGACCTATAAAGTAGAGCACTTGGCTCTCTAAAGGTCAGGTAGTTCATTTCAAATGCCAAAGAAGGAGAAGTCAAAGAAGGAAAAACAGGACAAGAGTAGCTCCCACGAGAAGAATTCAAGTCGCAAGACTTTACATTTGTATGTGACAGTTTGTGGCGATCCCCAGGCTATAGAATTGTTTACGAGAAAGGTAAGTGTGATTGTGTTGTCTGTGGGCTCAATTACTTTTTCGCTACAGAACTCCGAATTGAATACTTTAATAGACAAGTATCAAGTGTTTATTAACAGCGAGCCTGGAAATGATGGTAGTGGCAGAGTGATAGAGGGAGAAGCTGATTTCTTCCTCTGCGTCTACGACATATGCAATCGCAAATCAGTGGATTTCCTCAAGAATAAGGTATACCTCTAGGGAATTGCCTCATTAGCTGGCTTATAGGTGATGAACGTGGTGAATGGCTTAAAGCGGCCCATTGGTGTTGCCGGATTGGGACTGGAGTATAGAACGCGTGGAGGTAAAGAGCTCGCCGACGTTGGCACTGCTGCTGCATTGGCTAAACAATATGGATGTAAAGGCACTGAGCTTGTCTCCTGCGATGCAGTAAGTACTTCTTTCCTCCACCTCCGGTCCCACCTCTTCTTTACCATGATTAATGGCCCTGTTTAACCTTTGATGTGTAATAGAGACAAATGGCGGCTGGAACATTCGCTCTGTATGCAGCTACAATGCCAGAAAAGTTTAACGCTAACCCAGACAGTAAAGAAGGAGGAGAAGAAGGGGAAGAAGAAAAGAAAAAGAAGAAAAGTGGAAAGAAATCAAAGAAAGAGAAGAATTGAAAACTCTTCTATGTCCCTCATTTACACTCTTGATCCGTTTAACACCTTCCGCTTGTCAATTGTTCTTTTAATCTGTCTTCCTGTTACCTCACCTCACCTCCCCCCCTAGTGTCTTTATTTGACCAATTTTAGGAAGCATAAATCTATAGCTAAAGCAAAAATGTTTTGTTTAAGTCCTCAACATCTTCCCTTCTTAAAAATGAAGGAACAGAAGGTGGATTTCAAATTTACTATAAAAGGTATTTACATTAATTTTTAGAGGAGCCTTTTAACTTCGGTGATTAGTTTATGCGTGTGCAACTAGAGAAGACAAAAGCCTTGGTAGGGTTTCACATGCCACCCACGTAACAAATGTGTGCCACAGTGCCTCGGGTGGTATTGGCACAATACAGGGGCTTTCAGCCCAACAATACGCAATTCGATTGGCTTCAATAAAAAGAACAGTTACTGAATAGCTAGAGAAGAGAGAGAATGCAGGCTGTCTAATCAACCAATTTGTTTACTTTTATTAGAACATTCCTAGGCGCGGTTAGGACTTAATGTTGAAGCTGCAAGATCGGTGATTCCTATGGAGACTTAGGACAGTGTTGAAGGCTCACAAGGGCCTGAAAAATTAGGTCGCCCGTAACGTGAAACGTCAAACTCTAAGTTGAGGAGATACACCACTTTTAGCTAAAAAGAATAAGATTGAGTCCCTACGGAACCATTGCATGGATCCCATGGTGGTCCATAACCTCTCCAAAAGTTGACATTTAACTTTGAGAAGGCTTAAAAAGTGGTGTCTTTAGATTATCTACCCAATTCATAGTACTATTTGACTGATTAAGATTAACCTCAGCAGTTTCACAATAGTTGTGGCCAAGTAGAGTATTGTAAGCAAAAATCTTTGGCTTTTGTTTCTGCAAAAGTGGACAATCTGATTGGACAACTTGATCAGTTTCTAATTGGGCGTAGCCTTGACCAATCAGTAGAAGGTACAAAGGGTGTGGCGATTAATGTCCAATCAAAAGCATTTGCTTGATTCGTGTACATGAAAGTCAACTCAGTTAATACCTTAGAGAAGTAGTATTTGTAAAGAGGCCTGTTCTTGTTATAGTAGAGAAAATACGCATTTTACTTTTTGGTGGAGAAAGATCAACTCTGCTCGCATTGTGTCAAAGTCTGCAACGTTGCAAGCTGTTGAAGTAGTCTAGTGGACAACCTCAGAATATATGACAGACTATCAAAGATACCAGGTCAACACCCTACGCCAGATTCAGAATGAGGGTTCATCCTCTTCCCTATGGGCACCTCACGTATCGTGCTCTCCTTCAGACATCCATCATTATGGCAGCAACACAGGCGAGCATCTGCTTGAAATCATTCTGTGGCTTGAGGTGGTAGACACAAAGTCAGGAGCAACTAGAGCCACCGAAAGCACAGATCAGACGGCGTGTACACATCTTTGTGGAAGATGTGACCATGCTCTCAATAAATACCTAGACGAACCTACTACCCACTGCATTTCCCCAGCATAATGTTGCCATCATTACCTTTTGAGGTGAGACGTTCTTCAGAATGATACTTACAAGGTCAGAAACTCCAATTGGTGCCTCGGGGATTATAATTGAAGCAAGCCAATTTCTTACGGCATGAAGGGGAGCAAAAACGAGTAAAAAAGTGTGTTCTTCCCCTTTAAAAAATCGTATTTGAGCCTTTTAGTGCCTTTAAATGCATTTAATTTCACTCCATCAGGGTTGAGCACAAATGTCTGACTTCTAAGTTGGACACTCGTCAACTCCCTTTCTGATTGGGTGACAGGTTAACCAATTAAAACGCCTCATTCTCCATTAATTAAGGCGTCCATTTTTGAGGAGAGGTAAATGCTTTTTGAATAAAATTTACTCGATTTCAAGTTAAACATGGATAGCAGCATACTGCTTAAAGACTAAAGGAAAAGCATAGGAGTCAAACGAGGGTAGATCCAATTAGGGGCCTATCATGGGGTCTTACACGGACACGCACATAAGGTGCGAATGAAATTAAGGAAAACCAATCAGTGAATTTAGAGATCCATCAATCATTGTTAGTGAGATGGACTATATAAAGGAGACATAAACTTAATGCAGTCGGAGGTGATAACTTTCTCATGGTGAAGAAAGAGAAGAAGGCAAAGGGAAAGAAATTGAAAATGGAGAAGAAGTTGAAGTCAGGAAAGGGTGGAAAAAGTGACAAAGAAAATGGGCGCAGTAAGAAGCCTAGTGGTGAGACAATACGGTTGTACGTGGCCGTGTGTGGTGATCCTCAAGCCGTCGATTTATTCATGAAGAAGGCAAGTCTGTGATAATTTTAGTCTCATTACAACATTTTTTTGACAGAACGGTGACTTGAATGTGGCTGTAGACAAGTATCAGGTGATACTTGACGCTAATCCGGGCAATGATTCGAATGGTAAAGTGGTTATCAAAGGAGCTGACTTCTTTTTGTGTGTCTACGACGTTTGTGATCGCAGGACAGTGGGGTTCCTTAAGAAAAAGGTGAGTTGATTTGAGTAGCTTTAACCACCTATTTGAAGGTCATTCCAGAGGTCAAAGCAATGAACAAGAAGATGGCAATTGCTGGATTGGGTTTGGAATGTAGGGGCAGTGGAGGAAAAGGTGAGACTGAGATAGGCACGGCTGCACAATTGGCCAGTTTTTATGGATGCAAGGGCACTGAACTCATCTGCTGTGATGGGGTGAGTAGTCTCCACCCCCGCCTCCCTCCCTCTATAACACTTTGGTTTCTTCTCCACTATGATTGTTCTCTCCCCTTCCATTTTGCCTTCTTCTAGCATCAAATGGCAGCAGGCACATTCTCACTTTACACAGCTACGTGTCCGGAGAAATTTAAGGAGATTAGGCAATTAATTGTAGACCGAACCGAGGAAGACAGTAAGGAGGAGACGTCAAAGCAGGAGAAGACGAAGAAGGTAAAGAAAAAATAAGAATTTTGGGTTTTTTTTCTCCTCCTCCTCCTCCTCCTTCTACGTATCATCCTCCAATCTACCAACCTGTTGACAATATTTGATGCCTCCACTTCAACTGCCGTCAAATGTCTTATCGCTGAAAACCGAGTGAAAGGCTCTTTGTGTGTGTCAGTGTGTGTTTGTTCCTAAAACCTTAGCTTTGGGGGAGAGAGGGGATATATTTATGGAAGACAAGTAGTTATTCTTTCGCTGGGTTCCTCACCTGCATTTTTTACGCCTCTTTGTATTACCGGTCCGCACCAAGAATTACCAACCATCGAGGTTCCTCTTGGGAGTCCAGCCTGGTGTAGGTCATTTGGAATGAGATCTCACCTTCAGGGGTGATGTTGACAACACCCTTCTGTGTAATTGGCCTAGCACGGTCAAATCTTCCACTGAGGTGTATATTCATCATCGCAGTCTTCCCTACTGTCTATAGAATATGCGCATTCTTGACAGACGTAGCCACTGAAGCTTCGTCAGCGATGATAGTGAATCGGCACTCCCATCCGCCACGTTGCTCTGATGGCGAGGTAAAGGAACGCCTCCGCCATTGTCGCATGTAATGCTGTAGACCAGAGAATTCTAGGCGCCCTGTTTACAACCACGCCTTCAACTCGGCGCATCACTGAACTCACAATCCTGGAGGTCAAAGTGCGGAGGTGTTTTCGTTGACGCCAAGGATGCGTCGACTTGGAAGAAGTTGTCAACATGTGGTGTAGGTGAAAGCTAAAGCTCACTGTTTGGACAGATTGAATGGTCGTTTGTAGAACATTACTTGATAGGCGGCTCATTATGACTTTGATGCATTTGGGCTGTGTTCTGTGGATATACCGCCGTCACAGTCAAAATCCTTGCGGTTAGCTGCACGATCTTACTGGAAGCCCTTCCGTGAGTGAGAGTAGCACCGTCCATCTGTGCTTCCCATGATTAGTAGTTGCTCCTGAATTTATGTCTCCCACCTATGGCCATGAGATAGTTTCACGCAGATACTTGCCTGCGTGGCTGCCACATTGATGGATGTCTGAAGGGAAAGACGAAAAGGGCGTCTTCCACTAGGAATAGGACAGACTTGCATGCCAATCCCACTTATTGCTGCATGTGACGTTGTCTCTTACTGGAACCAGGAGTTGCTTGTTGATCTACACACGGATTAAAGGATATGCGATAGTCTAATTCGTCTGTTCTGAGGTCGTCACCTAGAGTACTTCTACACTTTGACACAATGAGAGTGGAGTCGATCTTTCTCTACTATGAGCAGAAAGGTGTATTTGATCTCCAGTCCGACAGGTAGAAAACACTTAGCGAGTGCTACTTCTCTGAGGCCTCTGTCGATTTAGCAATTATGTATACAATTCGATCGTATGTTTCTGATTGGCTATTAATTGGGCACGCCCTATATACCTTCTGTTGATTGGTCAGGGCCACCCAATCAGAAACTGACCACGTTGCCCAATCTGACTGGCCGCTTGGTCCAACCAATAAATTAATTCCTTTTTTGTTATTTTTTTCCTGAAATTTCCTGCCTGGTTAAAAAGCACTGCTAGAATAAGGCGATCCACAGTGATCATTCGTATCTGCTCGTAAACTAAAAAGACAGACAGATAGACGCGCGCCGAAAGATTTTGCCATAACTTCGTAGTAGGAGACAATGAAAGATCGCAAATCATCTTCCCAATCAGATTAATTGGGATAAAATATAAAAGGGGCAACAAATGTGTAAGTTACAAATAGTGTGGTCGTAATGCTGAGGAGAGAGAAGCTCGTGAAGGAGGTGAAGAGCGATAAATATCGCAAGGTAGGTAAAAATAAGCAGGGTGATGCGAATTCCAAACTAGAAGTCAAATTGGGAGAAGCTTTGCTTAAATGTGACAGTGTGTGGCAGTCCGCAGGTTATGAATTTGTTAATGCAAAAAGTAAGTCTATGTGTGCAGTGAATCCCCTCGAAACTCTCCTCCCCCTTCTTTACAGAACGGTGAATTGAATGCTGCGGTAAATAAGTATCAGGTGCAGATTTACGCTGATCCTGGAAATGATCGGAATGGTAAATTATTTGGCATAGAAGCCGATCTTATCCTCTGTGTCTATGATATTTGCGACCGCGAGACAGTCGAGTTCCTCAGATACAGGGCACGTTAGTTTTGGGGGCATAACATGCCGGTTTTAAGGTCCTGCCACAAGTCAAAGAGTTGAACAAGACGATGGCGATTGCTGGATTGGGATTGGAATGTCGAGGCGGTGGTAGATGCGGCGACACTGGGATAGGAACAGCTGCTCAACTGGCTAGGTTCTACGGATGTAGAGGCACTGAGCTTATCAGCTGTGACGGAGTGAGTAGTCACCGTTTCATCTCTGAAAACAGAAATTTTGTCATTAATCCACTTTTCTTGCCATCTTCTAGCAACAAATGGCAGCTGGCATATTCTCACTTTATGCGGCTGCGTGTCCGGAGAGGTTCAAGGAAGTTAATGAAGTCCCAGATGAGGAAGAAAAGGAGCACTGGAGGAAGAAGATGTAATAAGGGAGATTTTGTTTTCCCTTCAATAACCTCACTTCAACATGTCTGTCCTCCTCCATCTTTCTCTAGTATTAACCGATTCTTCTTCTCCCTCTTTTTTGACTTCCAGGGACCTAGTAGTCCCCAGGACTTAGGAACAGGATCTCTTTACTCCACAGTCTTTGTCTCTGCTTCCCTCGAATGCAAATATGGGAAAAGTGTGAGCCTAAGTACTCATCCCAATATTGCCAATCCCTTCTGAGTCCTTTCTTGTAACAAATGCGACACCCGTAAGGAGAGGTGTTTTGGTTTAATGGTTAGAAGTGTTGGAAGACCTTACACCTAAAAGAGACATCAAAATACTAGATTAAAACAAAGCCTTATAGGCAAATGCACCTCTCAATTCGTTGAGGTAGGAAAAAATGGCACAGAAGCCATCAAATTGCCCATTTTTCTCGCAGTTACACAAAATAGGTCACATGCTACTGAAATCGGGGGTTTAAAAATTAAGCAGTAAGGCGGAGCCAACCAAATTTTTGCATTAGGTCACACGGACATGCACACAAGAGGTGAGAAGAATAAGGTGAAATAAAAAATCCAATCAAAGAACCAAGGGCTTTGCCAATCAGAAGGGAGTTGAATGACCTATAAAAAAGCAATCAAACCTGATGGGCAAGTAGTACACACTTTGATGGCGCGAGGAATGAAAAACAAAGAGGCATCAAAGGAAAAGGCACCCAAAGAGAAATCTAAAGGCGACAAATCAAAGAAAGATAAGAAGGGGAAAAATAAAGGCGAATCACAATTGGAGGAGAAGAGGAAGCAACCAGTGGCTAGAAAGGCTACAAACTTGAGTATGAATGTCTGTGGTCATCCAAATGCCATTGAGATGTTTAAACAAAAGGCAAGCTTGATGTCTGTGACGCCTAATCTTGCAGGAAAATGAGTTGGATGTAGCTGTGGATGAATATCAGGTGAATTTTAATGTCAACCCCGGAAATGACAGTGATGGCACGCTCTACAGTGGTGATGCTGACTTCTATCTTTGTGTCTACGACGTTCGGGATCCAAAAACTGTCCAATTTTTACAAAAAAATGTGATTTTTAAGGAGTTGTCTTAATCAATTTTGAGCTAGATTTTGCCAAATGTGAGGGCCTTGAATAAGGTGATGGCGGTGGCTGGTCTAGGGCTTGAGTATAGAAGTCGCGGAGGTCAAGATGGCGTCAGTATTGATACAGCCGGCCTACTTACCAGGCAGTTTAGATGCAAGGGGACTGAGCTCATCTACTGCGATGGAGTAAGCAGTCCTCTCTCCATCCTACTAGTCCCATTTTCCCAACAAAGGATTATTTTATGAGGCAATTTTTTACCACCTTTTTAGAAACAGTTGGCAGCAGGAGCGTTTTCTCTCTACGCTGCTGCAAATCCAACAATGTTCACCAAACCCACTGAAAAGGCAGAGGAGGTGAAAGAAGACGATGGCAAGAAGACGAAAAAGGAGAAGAAGGGCAAAGCAAAGAAGGAGAAACCCAAAAAGGAGAAGAAGAAATAACGTCCTCGTGGTTTTTTCTCCCCTCCCCGGAAGTCCATTTTGGCTGTCCTTCCATCCCAGCTAATCCCTTTGCATTCTCTGCTGCCATCATTTGGTGATACAGCATCAAAGGCAATATTTACTCTCTTTGTTTGAATTCTCGAGCACGGAAAAGTGGCGGCCACTTCAGATTGGCCTGTCCGCTGTCACTCACTCTTTCCTCCCCCCTCCCCCTCCTCTGTCGCATTTCCTTTCTTCATTTCTACTTCTAGGGCAAATGATAAGTGGATTTTAAGAGCAAAATGAGGAGTTCTTTGAACCTCCCCTGCTCCTTCTCCTAGTCCGTTATTACCGCGAAATCGTGGCATATCTGAAAGAAGCACGATACGAGAGGGAAGGGAAGGAAGTGCCGTAGATGAAATATGAAGGACTGGAAGCACATAAACTCATAAAATGGAGAAGAACATTAAAGAGGGGAGGAGTGTAAAAATAAAAATAAGCAATTACAATAAAATCCGTGAGAAGAGTGTGCTCACCTCAGGCAAAGCAAAACAGACGGACAACTCTTTGCCCTATTTTTAATTGTGGGTAAGAGAGACAAATAAACTCTCTGTCTAATGGGGAGGAGATGGGGGTGGCGCCTTTATTAGGGTAAGTCACCTTCATGTGCGGACAAGAAAGACTTGATGAAAACACAGTACTCACCAAATGACCAATCAGAGGATTGATTGGCCTGTCACTCAGGTGTCACCTGAGATGAGCTATAAAATGGTGTTTTTCACTTTGTTGTGACTAGATCAGTTATTTCCCATGCCATTGAAGAACAACAAGGATCCCAAAAAGAAACCGGATAAAAATGCCAACAAAGGGGGCCAGAATAACGCGGGTGACAAGAAGCCGAAGAAGAAGGAGCGTGAGACTAAAAACATCCATGTATGCGTGTGCGGTCTGTCCAGAGTTGTAGATTTGTACCTGAGACAGGTAAGCAAATAATGGGTTGCCTTCAGCCCGACATTTCTCTCTCTATCTCTCCTCGATAGGTAAATAACTTGTCTTGTACTACGGAAAAATATATTGTGTACATTGATCCCACCCGTGGGAGTGATGAGGATGGTAGAATAAATGCTACAAACGGGGATCTCCTTCTCTGTGTCTACGATGTTCGTGACCCCAGTTCTGTCACCTATCTGACGGATAGGGTAGCTTCCCGTGTATCGTCTCATCTGCTTACCTGTAGATTATGCCTTATTTGAGAGGTGGAAACTGGAAAATGGGCATAGCCGGATTGGGAGTAGAGAACCGAACCGGAGGATCGGGCGAAACCGATGTGTTCACAGCCAGTCGACTGGCTAGACAATATGGAGCTCACGGCACTGAGTTAGTCTGCTGTGATGGGGTAAGTAACGCCCTCTCCCCTCTTCTGTTAGCCATTTACAAGTGATGCCCTCGTTCTACCTTTTTCATTGCTCCTTGTAGAACCAAATGGCAGCGGGCACACTTGCGCTTTATGGACAAGTCTGTCCAGAGGAGTTTGAAGAGGAAGAGGATGAGGACGAGAATGACAAAGATAAAGACAAGGATAAGAACAAGGGCAAGAAGCCTAAACCCTAAAAAGGGTCATGATCGCCCAGTATTTTACGTCCATCTTATCGGCCAAAATCGCCTTACTTTCACTCTGTCAGCCCTTTCCATCACCTCGCCTTTCCTCCCTCGATGTCCAAACATCAATCAGTACTTTTCGGTTTCATCATTTGATTTTGGGGAAACTGTTTTATAGCATCATTTTATCTTGAGCTTCGATGCAGTAAAGTTGGAATAAAAGGTAAAGATTTCCTAAATTTTTTCATGCTGCTTTCGTCAAAATTGAAAATCAGTACGCCATTTATTCGTTGTCGTTGATATTGTTGCTGGTGGGCTTCTCTGTTCAATTGACGGAAGCATTACTCCTCAAATCTGTGAGTGTAGGTAATGCGAACACTCAACACCCAATTCATGATTATCCACAGCCAAAATTAAATTAAACGATGGCTCTGCTAAGGTCTCACTTGGATCCTGCTTCAGTGGATGCAAATATGTCTTTGGGATGAGGCACGTTCCTGTTGCTCCAATCACCTTTTCCTAATTTAGACGTCTTTTACACCATAATCCATACCAACTCCAAAATCCATTCTCCTCATCCGCAAGAAGAACCAGCAACTTTATTGACACCCTGTAGTGATAAAATCATTAAGCATTCTAAATGATTGGCAGAATGAAGGGTATAAAGGAAGAAGGAACAAATGCAAAAAAGTAATTACACAAGTACATGACTAAGTCGAGTGCCTCAGGTTGATTACGCAGCCTTTTTGATTGGTTTGGGGGCTTTGTCACCCCATGATAATGTTAAGAGAGGCCTATTAAGAATAGCAAAACTTTTTGGGATATTTTGATCAAATTTCATTATTAGAAATTTCTTATAAGTAGAAAAAGAGGAAGAGAATGCTTTTTTGCCTTGTTTATAGCTCGTCGATGATAGCCTACAACTTTTGTTTCGATAGGTGGTTTCAAAATTTACCATGATTACAACCTTTTTAGATAAGTGTTTGATTTCATGAATATAGCAGTAGTAATTGAACGCAGCCGCTTTTAAATCCAAAAACTTAAGAGCTTTTGACGATTTGATGTTAGTTGGATAACACAGCTATATCCAAATGGAGGTAGACTGGATTTCTAAAGGTGAATCCACGAAATGTAAGGCTACTCGTAGGATAATTGCTGCCTACCTCCTCATGTTCTTTTGATTTTATTTCCACCACCACCCAGCCTTACCATTCGTTAATATTTCCAAATTACTTTAATGTGCTTTTTCCTCCTCTTTTTGTTTTACATTAAGGTGGGTGATTGAATGATTAGCAAACAAATGAATACCTCATGATTCTCAAGGTTACTTGAATTGCTTTAGGTGACTTACACCTACGAAAGGGAAGATAAATAGTGAATTGCGTCATAGCAGCACTGGAAGAGGTAAGATAAAGTTACATGAGACTGGTATCACCAAAGTAACCTATCAATTTGATGCGATGGTTGTAAAATCCTAACTTAATATAATTTGAACAGGTGGTCCATTTATTTAATTTTGACGCCACTAATGACACAATCATGCACCTTTTGAGAACAGCAGTGGGTGAGGGCAAGGCTTCACTTTGTGATATTGGTGAGTCCCTAAGGAGTGGCAGCTTACGCTTTTCGTTGCTGATAGGGCGGACTTGCTAGGGAAACAAATGCAAGCACAAATAAGATAAGAAACAATGGTGCTCCATCGTTGCGAATTTTCGCAAGAGTGTAAAATGTGTGTGCATTGTCTCCAATTTTCTCACATTCTCTTAATGAGCAAGTATTTCTTATCCATCCACCCATTCGATGTGAATTAATGCCATATCATGCGATCACGTGGCACAAGAATAATAGACAGGTTTTGGAGTGCCACAAGTACACAATTAGGGCTCATGGACTTGGTGCTGTTTTCACCCACCCACCGTCTCTCCGCACCTCCCCTGTACGACACTCCGGCTAAATTTTGACTTCTGCAATCTCAAACATCTCTGAATGCTGCACTCTTTTTTCCTTCCTTCTGACTTCTTTCCATAAAAAAACGGTCCATACAGTGAAATTTCATATGCTTTATTCCCAAGTAAACGCTGAGTGTAAATTAGATTACGTGGAAATCTGATCTTCTCCAATTTCTACACAAAAGCAACCAAGTGTGGATTCTTCAAAATGCACAATAAAATTTTTACGTTTAAATTATGGAGTAAAATTTTCTGCCAAGCATAAACTATTACATCTGCCGGAATTCTTTTGCAAGTCATTCATCCCGAATTTTTGAGCTGCGAATTTTTGCACGTTTGGACACGCTTTTCAAGCGGTAAGGTGACAGATTTTACCACCCTGGATACCCAAGGTAAAGGCATGCTCAACTTTCGCCCTCAGGACTTTGATCACTTGCAATACTCTACTTGACATCTACGCTCAACCAAATTTTTCAACTGAATAGCATGAATAACGAGGTAGAAGGCGAAAAAGTAAGGAAAATTTATGGATTTAAGAGCAATTTACATGGATTTTTTTAGGAGTACTAAAAATTTACGTAAAACTTTAGTCAAAATACCCATAAAATCGAGTCACCAGTTGACGAATTTCTCCGACACCAGGACGAATTCTATTTTTAGCAACTTGGCCCAACGTGCATTTCTATTTTTATTTTCTATATTTTGTGAAGTAGTCAAGATATCTTTTGTCTTCCTCTACATCGTTAATCGCCTTCTATTACTCCACTTTCGATGAAAATCAATTCTCTCACACAAAACTCCTGCCAAATTAGTGAATCACATTCGCACACGGGCACACACCACCGCTCTGGCAGTCGACTCAATTGCCTAGTCCCAGAGCAGGTAGGTATTCACTGTTATGCGAGAGTCTCACAAATTCTTGTACTCAGTTTTAATTAATTGCTCTAGTATTCTGAAGTGTGGTGTTGTTATAAAAAGGATAAGGTGTTTATACTCTTTAGATTTCTGCGTACAGGTAGCATTCCTATTTTTCTCCAGCCTACTAGGAAGGCTATATACTGGATTCATTAATACTCTAATTTCCGAGGCAAGTAATACGAAGTGGCACCAATTCCTTGTCTGTGAAAAAAAAACGAACGACACTACCTGTGAAAACGTGCATTTCTAGAGGATTTAAGGATCGTAAGAGGATAAACCTTACTTCCAGATGCATTAATAATGTATCTTCATTATTTATGATTGGTTGAACAAAATAAAGTGGCAAATTTTTTGAAGAGTAATAACGGTAAAGATATTATAAATCTACTTAGCAGTGTGTATCAGAAAATGAAATTTATTGTTTTAGCGTTTCCTGGTCACGGATGTAACTGGTACTGTAAATTAAGACAATTTGAAATTGACCTCAGTGTCGAAGATGTTTAGGTAAATAGAAGCTATCTGTCACATATTCTCAATGGAATAGGATTTAAACCCACCATAAGGCGTATGTAATGGTTGATTTTTCCTTTCTTAGTTGTTAAAATAAGCTTTTTGGGTTTCATAACTAAATCACCAGAAAAAGCGTCAACCACTGCAGAGCTTGCCATTAAAATCTACCTCCCCAATGCCTCTAAAACGACTCATAACTTCATCACCATTCGATTAAGGTGACATAAATAAAGCTTTTTTTATTCATTTAGACGAGAAGTCATGTCATACCATACTTAATGAAATTAGTCAACTTATGTTATGCTCAAAGTGTGCTCATAATTTTTGGATGAATAATTGGGTTACTTACCTATCAGTGCACTCAACCTTTCTATACCAAATTCCACGACTTAGTGGCAAAACTATTTCATTGCAGCAATCTCACACTAGTAGCCGACCTGATCTTGCTACAAATACTTAAAACTGCGTTTTTTAACCACGACAGTTCTAAAAACGCAAGAATTCCATTATGCCTTTATTTTCTCTCCCTTCTGTGCAACTGATAGTCCTTCCGAGATTATTAATTTATCCATAAGTGCTTGCGCGTACGTGCATGCAAAAGCCGATTAAGCGAGGCTCTCGGATGACGCAACCCCCCGTATGATGGCACCTTTCGAGCCTCCGCCACCATGACTAAAATCTAACTGCGCGGTATCTATGCAGCTGAAATACCCACGAGTGTTAGTAGGTTTGTAGGATTACTGGCATGCTGACGCAACAGACTATGAAGTTCTCTCTTTTCGACAAGACGTAGTTCCTAAACCAGATGAGTTTCCAGCATGCAAGTCCGTCAATCAACCACAGGGACCGGTGGAAAAGACGAATCTACTATTGACAACTATCTGCTCTAATAGTGCTAAAGCCTCAAAAAACTGCACTGCACAAGCACACCTTCATGTTTGGACAAATGCACGACTTAAAAAAAGCGAAGATGTTTGCGTGAGCCCTAAGGCGACTTCACATACTGCTTTTAATAAGATGATGCATCCAATTTGGTTTGCAGATGCATCTAAAAAACGAATCGGACAATATGCCAATCTAAGAGAGAAATGGCAAAAGACGGATTGATTCCTATGACCCAAAATTGCAGTATTCCAAACCGAAAAAGAATGAAATTTTTTCGAAAATGTTCGGCAAAAATCTAACTTATTAAATCTGGTCAAGTAATTTTCCGTGGAACGTTCTGAGAATAAATAAAATCTGCAGGGCTTTGGTAAAACGAAATCCAACTATTGTTATAAAGACCCCAACGGATCCTCCACGTCAAATAACTTTTGCTGACCCCTAATACAAGTGCCGCGCGCCGCTTAAAACAAAACAATTCTACAATATATGGGAAAAACTCATTTGACGCGTTTCCTTTGTTATATGAAATGGGTGAGTATCGAGACGTAGTAATTTGGTGGTAATAGTTTAATACTTCCTGTGTGTACAATTACCTTGTTGTTGTAAAACAAATCAAGATCTGAACAACAATATTGGCGTTGTCTAATATTTATGGGCAAGAAAGGTTTTGCGATTGATTTTTATTATAAGATGAGGTCGATTAAACCCCTCAAGTGAAATTTATTTAAGCTCATCCACAATAAAAACAAGGGGCATAACATCTGATTTGTTGACAGGTTAGAATTGTTTTAAATCAATGTCCATGTAATCGATTGTTGAGTTTTGGTCCCGCATTTTTTGCTTATAACTAAGTTATTTATGTTAACGTTTGATTAAGCAAGAAGGTTGGTTTTCGTGAATAACCTATTGTCAGTGCATGCAGACAAAGTGTGCTTTTAAGAACAATTTTGATGTCCTAATAGCATTATGATCAAAATTACTGTGCGTTTTTCTTTTCCCTGATTTTTATGCTGGATCGATGACCTTGACATTGACATCTATTTGCATTTCATTGGTTTGATTTTGAGGCAGTGGGATTTGGTAATCCCTATCCTGCTGCCGCCTGCGCATAGACCTCGTAGTGCAAGATAAAAATGTTGGAGAAGAAAACTATCAAAGCCGTAATTCTCATTGGGGGTCCTGCTAAAGGTACACGATTTCGACCACTTTCTTTGGAAATGCCGAAACCACTGTTCCCGATTGCCGGGTATCCCATGATTTACCACCACATTGAAGCATTTTCAAAGATACCCAACATGAAGGAGATCATTCTCATTGGGTTTTATCAGCCAAATGAAATTCTCTCCCGACTCATAAGTGATGCTGGGAGGGAGTTTGGTATGAACATACGGTAATCACTTTTTTGTAAGAGCGAACTGTATATTGTTGCTTTTAGCTACTTGCAGGAGTTCACTTCCCTCGGAACAGCAGGTGGAATATTCCAATTTCGGGATCAAATAAGTGCTAGTGGTCTGGATCTTCTCTTTGTCATGAATGCTGATGTTTGTTGTGATGCTCCACTGCAGGAAATGGTAGACTTCCACGCTAGTCTTGGTTCTGTTGATAAATTCGTGGTCCTCTCAACAGAAGTATGTTTTTTTTTCTTTGTCTCAGTTTCATCCTAATATTGGATAGTCGTTTTGGAGTTTTTTTTGCTTTCCTTTAGGCAACGCGTGAACAGTCTATGGAGTTTGGGTGCCTTGTAGAAAATCCCGAAACAAATGAGGTGGGCTGAAGTTGGTCCAATGCGGCCCACTCTTTCTGCTTTTTTACACTTTTTACTTTCGTAGATCACACATTACGTCGAGAAACCAGACACATTTGTTAGCGTCCGCATCAACTGTGGCATCTATCTATTCACTCCGAGCATCTTCAAATTTATTCGTGTAGCCTTTCTGGAGCATCAAAACCAAAAGTTGTAAGTTTATCTATTATCTACTGGTTTTCTTGTGGAATTGATCTTGATTTGGGAAAAATTTTCCCTAGCGCCAAGCCCGGAGGAACTTGCAAAGAGAGCATTCAGCTGGAGACGGAGATATTTCAACCGCTTGCGGGTAGTGGAACCCTTTACGCCTTCCACACGGAGAGATTCTGGAGTCAAATCAAGCATCCGGGGTAAGTTTTGGCCTTTTAAACAGCGTTAACGCCGAGAGCTGATAAACTTTGATCTTAGCTGCTAGATTTTCTTCTCTCCCTTTGGTGTATAATAATCATTTCAAGTTTTCTAGCCGTAGAACTGCTTCCATCGTCTTCCATGGTTTGAATGTTATCCGATATGTCCCTGTGTTTACTCCTCTTCCGGAGTGGCAATCTACGTGGGCAAATGTGTGATGGGTAGAGAGCCTCTTGTTAATTGCACATCATATCTGAGACTACCGCTTTCCGCGTTGGCATAATTTGTAATGTGGTAGAAACTTGTGATCTTCCCATCCTTTTCTGCCAGACCATTTTGAAACCATAGTAGTTATTTAAAGTTCCCATATCACCTCCAGGCCTCCCACCTTTATTGTTCACTTTATTATGGGTGATGCCGTTCCGCTGCCTGCAAATGTGCGGTCTTCAGGGTCTCTCGAATCCGCAAATACCATCCAAGGAAGTGATACCACACTTAGTTTTGAGATACTTTTGTAGCTCTGGAAAGCCTATGAAGCTAGAGTAACTACAACTTTGGGTTCTGTGATTGCCTGCCCATCTTGGTCACTGAAACCCATCAGGACCTCTATATCAGTGAATTGCTGATATTTAAAATTGAGCACTGGTAAACATCAATTGGTTGTCTTAGCTAGCTTGCGGTAGTCCACAGGGTCTCGGGTACCTCTTGATGTTACAGAAACCAGCTGAGATTTCCACAGCAACTTCACGCCTTACTTTCTGACCATTAGTTTTCTATCCAATTTTGGCAATGCTCTAAAGCCCATGCGGCTGTCTTGGTTTTCCGCGTCGCACTTCGAAATTTCGATCTTTCTGTTATTTCAAGAGCGGTGATTTACGCGAACCGGCAGATGCTGGCCCTTTATCACCGTACCCATCCCCATCGTCTGGCAGTTCACAGGGTCTCCATTAACAGCAACGGAAACACCACCTTTGACACGACAGATGTCACAACAGAGGCCTCGGGGGATGGCGAGACAACAACTACGTCAAGTGCCCGCATCATCGGCGATGTCTATTTGCATCCCACAGCACGTGTGCATCCCACTGCAGTCCTCGGTCCCAACGTGAGCGTCGGTGCGGGCGCAGTGATCGGAGCGGGCGTGCGGCTCCGCGATTCAATCGTTCTGCGTAATGCCGAGATCCATGCACACGCCTGTTGTCTCAACTGTGTGGTGGGCTGGAACGCTGTCATTGGTCAGTGGGCCCGTGTTGAGGGTACTGCAGCCTTTGGTCCAAACCCCAACACACCCTTTACAAAGCTGGAGGTGGTACCTGTATTCAATGCCAAGGGTCAACTCAATCCCTCAATCACGGTTATTGGTGAGTGAACTGAGGAGATGAAGATCTTAACGTTGTTTGTGAGGTGGGAAACTAAGATATCAAGTCTTGTTTGCTACGCAATTTCCACTTCGACGACATTTAGCTTATGCTAATCCCCATTAAGTCGGCAAGGCCTTGTTTTTCTTCAAGGATTCATCCATTTGTAGTTGGGGCCTATATTCTGGAGTAAGTAGACTGTCTCTTAAAATACGTGACCTCTCCTTAGAATACCACCTGTCAGTTATGCTTTGTTAGAGGTCAAGGCTATCTCCCACGATATTTCATTGCTACACGCATTTATATTGGGACAAAATCTGTGCACCCACCCTTTTTTTCCTCACGCAGGTTCAAATGTCGATGTACCACCCGAGGTGATTGTGCTCAACTCGATTGTGCTGCCACACAAGGAGTTGTCACGGAGTGTCAAAAATCAAATTATTCTCTGAGTGATTTTTAGTTACGCTACTGTCACTGCCGTCTCTATAAAGTCCACGCAACTGACTTGATTTATCCCTCTAAACAATCATTTTTTGTTCTATTTAGTAATGGATTTTTGATGTGTGAAAGGTGACTAAAAATGCAATGTTTCGGTGTCCTGGTTGTTGAATAACACCTGTCGTGGACTGGCTGTCTGCTGAAACCATTGGGAAATGAAGAGGTGAGACGCATGTCGAATTAATTAATTGAAGGCAGTCGGCACGATGTTGCTGTACATGCTTGAAGTTGGAGGAATCTGGGAGGAGGAAGTGGAGGGGGGGCTCCCTCTAGCCCTGGGTTTGGTGTCGATTGAAGGCTTCCTCTAAGTAAGCCGGAGAGTTGAAATCACCGGTCCTAGTGGACGACTGCTTTCTCATCTCTTGCCCTTGGAATTCGGTGCTGAAAGCTTCGAAGAAAAAGATTTAGAGAAATATTTTTATTAATTACCTTTTGTATGATTATAAGGCGATTGATCTGATTCGTCAATCAGATGTCGGTGCTGTTATTGAATTGGTCGATATTTGGTGCTGTTTAATTGGTTGGCAGGTTCACTGCTGGTTTATTGGTTAACAGGTGGTATTTGATTGGTTAATAGATCAATTCGAATTTCGGGTGACTACATGCTCGATAAGGAATGCAAAGGTTGATGGCTGTAATACCGATTCATGCGTTGTCACTCTCTCTATAAACTAATGTTACAACTCCGGAATTGCGTCTTTTTTACAGATTCTTCACCCGTAGAGCGCTTACTTCAGGTGCAAAATTAAAGCTGTGGGGTATACACACATTTACGGGACTCCCTTTCTTGCACATATTAAACGAACAGGACATTTACTGGATTCTTTAGCAATTGATCGACAAACAAAGGGTTGGTTTAAGTGAAGTTTAGAGGCATCATTCTCCATCACGTGGATGTAAGCGACCATTGTGCTCTATATGCAATCCATTCGAATGCACTTTCTTGTGTTTTCTGCACGTAATCTGTCAAGAAAATGAGGTATAATGAAAATTCAGGGGCAAGACCTCTTTGTATTACTTTCTTCAACACAAATGCAGGGCGAGTGAAGCATAAATGGGTGGAATTGGTTTGAATGAATGGTTTAGCCAATCGGTTAGCACAGATGTGGAGAGGTGGGAGAGAGGGAAGGTGGAACTGATGCATTCGACATGGGCATCGGGTGTATGGACAGTGCGAATGCGAGCTGTTTCATAAGTGAGTCTCAAATGGTCAGTTAAGTCAAGAGGGGGGAGGGGGGGAGGGGAAGCGAATGGAAAGACATGCTGATGAGCTTAGGGTGAATGGTTCAATGAAGAACATGCTGACGGACCATGGGCGTGTGATAAGACCAAGCATGGATGAAAGCTCAATAAGGACTGAATGATTGGACAGTTGGATGGATGGATTAGACATGGATGAACCAGAATTGTTAGACAAATGTAGGGACAAATCAATCCTTATTTGACAAACGTGTGCATGCATGCAAGAAACTGAGGTGCTAAGGTAAATAAACTGATGAGAGGGGGCGTGATTTGGCGATGGATAAAGAGGTAATGGCCATGGCCGGACGAGTGTGTAAAAAAATGAATGCGCTAATCGAAAGAGTTAAATATTAGTAAATAAACATGGATACGGGATAGATGAATGGATAAAAGGATGGTTACAGGATGAATGGCTGAGTGGATAGGCGAATGGATTTAGAGATTGGGTGGGTGGGTGATTATATAGATAGATTGATAAGTGGGCATGGATTCAATGGATCAGGGATGGTCAACCCCGTTGTTTGTTAGGCTATAAGCCTTTTATTATTAAATAAAGAGAATGCCAATTTGACAGTGTAATGTAATACGATAGTGGTTTATCCCTCGGTTCTGGTGAGGCGCCACTTTTGTACTTCGAATTGGCCCCCTTGTACCTCGCTGGGTGGGCTGGCCTTTTGGGCCATGCCAATAGCCCAGACACCTTCACCGTGCTGAATATATATATTCTGCCCAAGTATTGTGTCTTCTTTCGTCTTCAGGGAGCCCCGGGACGCTACAGTAAGGCTCCAAATTCTGGCAAATATAAGCCTTCTGAAATTTTCTGTTGAATACAATAAACTGAGAACAAAGCCAAGAGGAGTGAACGATGGAGGTATTGGAAGGAATATTCGGCAATTTGCCTTGCTCCATAAATGGTGGGATGCTAAAAAAATAATTTCACGAAATTAAAACTCCTTTAGTACTTTTTGGTTCATTCATCGCATAAGGGAAATTGTATAATGTCAAGTACCATTGTTAAACAAATGAGTTGCCATTGATGGATAGCTGATAGATGTCAGGAAATCTATTAGCTTTTATCCGATTTATTTCATCAAAACATCTCCAGCTTTGGATATTTCACCATTGTTTGAGTTAACTAAAAGGAGGCCTCAACATCAGGATATTTTGCTCCTGTCGTGTCTAAAAGGGGGTTTAATTTTAAATAATACTACTAATTATTCTTGGAACGAACTAGCGGATTAATGACAACCTTGATTGACGTAACACTCCCATTAGTCCTAAACCTACCTTTGAAAAGGTGTCCAGAAGGCCAAAATGCTCAGGTGACTATGTTTAAAACGGAACGAGGTCCCTTGGTCGTAGTGCATGACTGAACTTTGAAGTACCTAGGGTAAGTCTTTGAGAGGTTAACAGATCACATCACACAAACTCGCCTTTTGGCTTCTGATACTGATGCTTTTCCAATAAACCGCATAATTATAAAACACAGTGCAGCAAATGCCTAAGCATTGTTATAAATCATGCTTTGAGTGAACCACTGCTCCTAGTGATCCAGTCCCAATGCCGGATAAAGACGGTTAAATATGCTCCCTTCTAATGCGTGGACCTGTGAACGTCCTGAAGGCACTCTCAGTGTCAACATCTGCACGAAAGCACCTACTTTCATAACTGTGTGTATTTAAACGATCAAATGTGTAAAGCAAAGGGGAGTAAAAGATAGAAAAAGCAAGGACCTACATGTTTTGTTAAGGAAGACTGGTCGTACGTTTACCACTATTGTTCGAACACATGTGCGGAGATTTAGGTGCAGAATTTGTTATCTACAGTGTTCTTTGTGAGCTAGGCAACTCTAATCTTTGTAAAATGGAAGGCACTTGAATAGAGCGAATCCTTATTAAAACATAAAACATTGCATTGATCCTGAATTATTAAGAAAGAGGAGAAGAACATCGTGTTCTGCAAGGCTAAAGTGTGTCAAGAAACGCTTCTCCAATCTATATTTTGCGACGAAACTAAGTGTTCTAAAATAATGCATTGAGTTCATCCGTAAAATATTTGTCAACTTTTCGCTTACGGTGTAATGTATTGTGCCACATATAAATAATATTCTGGACTGACACATAACATATTAGGGCAAAGATTTAAAAGCCTTTTTAATTGATCACTGCTATTAGTTATTTCTAAGGCATTATCTTAAAATTTAGGTGTATTTTAGTTCTTCCAGAACCTGATGATGGGGCTTCTATTGCTATTCTATACCCCCATGTAACCATGTAAGGATAGTCAGCCTAAAAATAATACTTATTAGCGTCCGTTTTTTTGCTGCCACTTTAATATAATGACGTTTATTGTCCAAATAAAAATTCCATTATTATCTTGGTATATTGAGCCTACTGGCAGGTTTATGGAGTAGGTGGACAGCTGACTGGTAGACGCAAATGGAGGCTGGAAATTGTCTTTATATCTGAGCTAAATTCTTTGTTGATTTTATTTAGTATTTATGGACGATGTACGACCCAAAACCTGAGGCTGTAGAATCCAAAACCGTTGAAGACAATAGAGTGTATGTTTTTTGTTGCGTAGTTGAATTGTCTAGTTATGATTCTTTGTTTTGCCTATGTGCACGGTTATCTCCACGACTAGGTATTCTCCATCACCCTTTCTAGTATGGATTTCAGTTTCCCAATATAACCTTTTCTTTAACGCTGATAACTCTCAAGGAGTGGAATTCGGGTCATATTTTTGAAATCTGTTGACTCTTCGAAAACTATTGGCCAGGCGTTATAACTTTGGTGTTCTTTTTATTCGCAGCAATCCTTTTTAGTGCTTTTGTTTTTGTTAAGGGTCTATGTAATCTGTACATGATTTAAAAATGCGTTTTAGACCGATGAAAATCTCCGGATTTCCCGAGTTTGCGGAGATTTGCTGCTTCATCAACCACTTCGGTGAAAAACTCGGTGTAATGCTCACCTTTCCGCGAATCGCTCGTCTTTTGTCGTGCGAAACCGATGGTACTCTCCCATTTTGAGCATAATCCTTCCTGTGAATTGTTAAATTCCTCACGTTGTTTAACTCCTTAAGCCGATCTGCAATCACTGACGACGCTGGTGGTGAAACTGCTCAACAAGATGCGTCTCCGCACTCAGCTGAACCGCTGGCAGCCAGCACTGGGCCGATTTCTACAGCGACATGCATACAATTGTGACGAGCTTAGATCTATCGGCAACGGACTCAATAACGGCAGTCCACCGACTCTCTTCTTCTCCCTCGCTCCGCAGCGCCGCTTGCGGGTCCTCCTCTTCTGTCTAGAGACGCAATTCCATCTTAATGTGCCTTTTAAGGAGAAGGTGAAGACTATAGACTCGCAAACCCTGCGAACTCCACCTCTAGGAGTAGACATCTTTGGTAACTCCTATTGGCTCCTCGTGGACACTGAATGCAATTTCCTTCTCTATCGTTCCTCTGCAGAGGACATGACCCTGGAGGTTAGTTACTTTTTGTTTAGGCCGATATGTAGCGCACGCGTTATTTGCTATCTTGTCAATACGGGCGTATTTCTAGAGCATATTTGAAGGCCCTTACTTGGCTCTTTCACCTTTATGTGAGCTTTGTTTTTGATATTTTTGGGCGTTTTAGGGAGGTCACATATATTTCCATTCCTTTGAAAAGTATGCGATTCCATATTGATTGTAGTTAGGGAATGTAGCGTTTTTTTATACTGACCCACCAAATTGAAGGCTTCGTTTCTAACTTTATTGAATCGTGTATCATTATGACGTTGCGCATTAATGCAAGGTGACAAAACAATCGCAGTCAAAAGTAATACATGACACCCAAATCTACTACATCCGTGTATTTGGCTTAGTTGTACTTTCGGTTGAAATTTTTTTATCATCAACCGTCCATCTTTCAACATTTTTCCACCCATTGAGCCCTCTCTTTTTGTCCGAGGCACCTGAAACTGGTGAATGTTTTAGATGCGTTTATGTAACATAGGTGAAAACGAGACCATACTCTCCGTTGCGACCCTCGTAGGACCTTGATGAAACATGAGGGAAATTTGCTTTGCATGTGTATTTGAATGATGTAGAAAAATCAACATACTTTGGAATTGAGAATTAACTTGCTATACTCTCGGCTCTTCCTTATTTCTCTCATTAAAATCGTGCATTTTTCCTCCGGACCTCTAATCACAGCTACTCAGTGAATCATTCTCTACGCTGGAGACTGTAATTGAAGATCTTAAAGACGAGAAATACGAAAAGACTCCCATCTCGGAGCTATATTCGGTCTTTCGTATAGCTGCTAAACAGGAGCCTGAGGGGCTAAGAAACTTTCCATCGCCTCCAACTCTCCCGGATATTGTGGCCCCGAGAGAGGTAAAGCTTGACGAATCGGACGTTTATGTGAAGCCGGAGACAGCGGAACTTCCAGACGGTAAACCTGAGGAGACAGAAGAGGAGGAGAAGAAAGCGAAGGTAGAGGACGTGATTACCAAGAAGTGGTACGTGGTTTACTCTTCTCAATGTGTGATAAAGACTGCCGTTATCCTTACCTTCTACTTAAATCATGCGCTCTGTTTTATTTCAGCGTGGAGACACCTACTGAGCCGGCAGATGAAAAGCCAATTTCTGGACTGATTGCCTGGTGAGTTATTCCATTTTTACATTGCTAAACTGAAGACGGCTTTTTTTACCAGTTGTCCCTTGTTTCGTTTTTAGCGAAGATGCCGTTCCTCAAGCCGATTTTGAGCAGCAAGAAACTGAACAGCAGAGCAGGTTGAAGCGTCATTCGTTTTCACACCTTTGTTTTACCTTTTCTGTGATTAAGCTTGTTATTTTTCATTTAAATTTCAAGTGTCAAAGAAGAAGGATCACAGGAGGCATTAGGTCTTCGTCGAAGTGGTCGAAAGCGCAAGCAGGTGGAGTTCCTCGCGATGGAGTCCTTCAACAAAGGCAAAAAATCGCGAGGTAAGAAGTCCATCTCCATTTCAACATCAAAGAAATCCAGACGGGCAGAAGGGAAGTTAAAAGAGGATAAATCTCGAAAGGAAAAAACATCCAAAAAGCGGAAAAGACGGCGTCGAGGCAAAAATCCCCGAAATGGTCAAAACGGCAGCAGCGGATGTTTGTGGACCCGTTCCCCAGAAGACTCGGAAACAGACAATGAAGAGGATGAGGAAGAAGATTTGTGGAACGACGTTGGCTCGAATGGTCCTGATAACAGCGGATCTTCTCTTCAAGATGGAGAAAAACAATCGCCTCGTGATTGGTTGGAAGATCTTGAAAGTGATTTCGATTTGGAGGCTGAGGATGGAGGCGACTCCGGAGTTGTAGCTGGGCGGAATCTCCAGCGTCAAAAGTCGCAGGTTCTGGACGAGGCGCCGTGTCAGATTTGCACTGAATCGAATCATCCAGAATGGCTCCTCCTCTGCGATTCCTGTGATCTCGGATTTCATGCCCAATGTCTTCGTCCGGCTCTTCATCTTATCCCTGAGGGCGACTGGTTCTGTCCACGTTGTCTACACACTCGTTTAGTGACTGCTCTCGTCGAGCAGTTGTCGACTCTCCAAGCACGCAGTAAGAAGCTGGACAGCGCTGCAAGAATGCAGGAGCGTTTGAATTTCGTCAACATAAGTGTCACGAACATCCTACGGGATGAGCGAACGCGTCGCCCAGTTGTAGACAGTGACTCCTCGTCTGTCGAAAGCGAGGAAAGTTCTCATCAAACTAGACGCAAACGCTCACGTTACTACGAAAGTAGCGGCTCTACTTCGGATGATGCCTCATCCTCTGATGAGAATGGTGACGATGATGAAGAAGAAGAAGACGATGATGATGACGACGAAGATAAGGAAGAAGAGGAAGATGAACTACCTGCTCGTATAACTCGTCATCGGAATGTTCACTACAACGTGAATGCCGCATTTCAGCAGTTGGACGAAGTGCTAGTGGAGGATGAGAAGTATGCACAGGAGCGTTTGGAACGCAGCAAAGCGAAGAATCAGCACAGTGATCACGAGGAGGAAGGTAAGGATGAAAGTGCGGCGTGTGGAGGACCTCCACTGCCTGGTTCTGTGGTACCGAAGACTGCAAAGAGGAAGCGGCTCTCCTCCTCTTCGGCATCCTCGGACTCCAAGGGTAGAGAACGCGGCAAGCGTCGGAGGCGTGTCTCACCTGGAAGCGAGGAATTCCGACCTTCCGATGAAAGTGAAAATGACGAAGATGAAGATGAGGAATATGAGGAGGAGGAGGTGGAGCCAAACTCCTCGACGGTGGAGTCAGTTTCTTCAGATCAGAGTTGGAACGTTAATCGTAGACGACGAGGCCGACGTCATGGAAGACTTACTCGGAGGTCCGGACATCGTCGTGGTGGAAGGCCCAGTAAGGGAAGACGTGGACGTCGAATTCCACATTTCGAAGGTCCGTCCAGTGATGAAGATGGTGAAGAAAGTGTTCCTCTCAGGCAAGCTGATCTCTTTTTATTCGTGAGTTGGATGCTTGCTTGACGTTCTTCTCCACTTGCGTTTATAGACGCAGTTCAAGGGTTCGCGTTAACTACAGGGAAATCGAAAGCTCTGAAGAAGAGGAAGAGGAAGGAGCAGGTGGGAAGGAGGCCGCTGTTACGAAGAATTCTTCAGGAAGACGAGCTAACACCGCTTCTTCTGGAAGTGAATATGCTCCAAGTGAGGAGGCAGAAGGTGTTGAGGAGGACGAGGAGGGCGAGGAGGAAAGGGACATCGAAGGCGTAGAAGCCTCTTCATTAGCTGTGAAAATTCCACCAATCATGTCCACACAGGAGGAGGACGAAATTCTACAAATTTCCAGTCCCGTTGCTACCTCTCGCGAATTTGGTAATAATAATGAGCCACAAATCGAAGAGGATTCCATGGATATGGTGAAGGATGATCCCATCTTTCAAAATTTTGTAATTGATGAACTCGTTTTGCCGATTCAGCAGGAGACGGAGAATGCCTCCGACATGCAACGGCATAGTCCCACACTTTGAGCATTCGCATCAGATTGTGTAGACGGGCATGTAAATACTCACAATCCGTGTATATTCGTTATTCTCGTTTCTACTTAAGAAAACAAATGAAACAACTTTACCATTTTTTTATCAGCACTGCATATATTCCCTCCTAATAGTGTCCTACTTAAGGCTTTTCAGTAGCATGTCCAATTTGAGCTTTGAGAAGTACAACTGATTGAAATACAGGATTTTTTGAAGCACTTACGCTGTTAGTGGTGGACTTTCTCTTCGTTTTCAAGATTCTGGGTCATTTATTTAAGTTGACTTTAAAAATTGGGAGAAATTAGTTGCTTTTTTTACATAATCTGGTATAGACTTCACCAAAAGTGATGGTGGGGGGAAGGAGGGGGTAGTCTTCCATCCACGTCTTTTTAACTCCCCGTTCGTGAACTGTTTACTTTTGGGGATAATGTTCCAATCCATACTCCGTCGATGTCATGCTGTTTTTGTTGGAAAATAGCCACTTTGCAAACTGGCCACCTGAAAGGTTAAAGGCTGTGAGAATGTCACCTCCTACTGCCCTTATTCAAACGGGAAGGTAGTCTGCAAATCCCGATGATTTTTCTGGGTGATGCGTGCCTCATCAGCTGCAACAGTGGAGTTCTGTAAAACATCTTATAAAAAACGGGTAAGAAACCCAGCCCAAAAAAGTCAAAAAGGGAAGTTTTTCCCTCACAAGTTAAATAAACCATTTCCTCCTGTAGATTCCCATATTTTTTGTAAAGTGTCTCGGTCCATGGATTCTAGTGGCCCTTTGAGGGGGGGAGGTGGGGAAGAAAACCTCCTCACCAACGTTCTTACGTCTTTTCATTGCTTCTGAAAATGAGTAGTGGAAAATGGCAAAGTTTTGTGTGCATATTCTGCCTGAGGCGATCTCCTGTTAAAACGTACCGACCAACTCCTTCGTTGCATAACACCTCGCATTTTTGTAACCATTAACGAATAACACAAAAAGGGTGGATTAAGTCGTATCAGTAGCATAAAGCAACGAAACAAATTCGTTGTGTTCCGATTCCTTTGAAAAAGATTGTTTTATCTCAGTGAATGTAGGACTTGGCCACGTTTGAGACGATGCAACTCTATCTCGTATGTGAGTGTATTCTAGGTCAAGAAATGATGTGTGACGTCCTGCCTTGACCTCCATCTGATTCACCAGTCGTGGCAGTTTATACGAAAGTTGTCCTTACAAATGTAAACAGTCCTGTTGACACACATTGTATAGACTTTTGGAGGTAAAACGGATCTTAGGGATATGAGATGGGTGATGAGGGAGTAACCAATACTACCCCTCATTACAAGTCAGTTAGAAAACCGTGAAGGTGGGGATGAATAAGTTGGCAGCCTTTGAAGCTCCTTGTCACCTGTTTATGAGTAGCACTTTGGCAATCATTTACTCATCTGCCACGAATTTTCCTCCCCAGGTGCAGATTGGAGTTGGGAGCCGTGGTACACCTCCCACCTATCGAAAAAAAAACTTAACAAAATTGACGAAGGAATTTTTCCAGCTTTGAAAACGAGTTAAACTCGATTTGTAAGCCACCCGATAAGCTCGAATCAACTTACGATAGTTTATAATGATCAAACGTCAGCGTGGACGCTGCAAATTGGAAGGCCAGTTCAGATACCTCATCTCCTTCCGCGATTACCTTTTGTCTACAGACTCAGACATCTATGGAATCCTTGAATAATTAAGTCAGGCATACCTCCTTGTTGGCCTAGTCCGGGAAAATCGAGATAGCTCCCAGGCCGATCCTGGACAGTGGCATGCATTGTATGACGTCGACGAACGGAACCAGGGTCACTTAGTTCTCGCTTGATACAACTACTTCAAGTTCTCTACTTCCACACCTCAAGGTCATGCAGAACTGAGAATTGATTTGCTTTCAAATTCACGCAAATATTGATCCATGTCACATCGGTTGAAGAAGTCACGTCGTCACTCCCAGGACACTTACCCGGATGTGCGAGCATCCCTCGCGAATAAGACAAGCTGGAGGGATGAAGACTTTGTAGATTTCACACACATCCAACCGGTTGATTGGCTCGTCTCTGCATCCAGTCAGACGGAGAGTGAGGAGTCCCGTCGAATTAGTCAATTCCAATTACCGCCGGAGCCTTATGACGGGACCAAATCGCGACTCTTTTCAAGCTTCCCCAGTGACGAGGATGAGCACCTAGGCTTTGCATTAATAACTTCTAGGGAATCGGAACCTGGGGACGACTACAATGAACCCAACTTTAGAACTACGAGGCGCGAAATTGGTAAGCTTCCCAAAGTGCCTTGACGATTGAAACAGCCCTTCAGTATTGTTGGAACGGTAGAGTTAAACACATTCCAAAGCCCCTAATTTATCTTCACCATCCATTATTCAGGTTGTGCGTTGTGCAAACCATTGACAGGCTAATTTGCTCTACTGTTGGTACTAAAATATTTGCTTTTCTTTGAAGTGGAATTGTCACCGATGCAAATTTTGCGACGTTGGACGACAATCGTCAACTTGAGTGGACTGAAAAGGGAGGGTGACAAGGTGACACTCAGACCAGAAGCGGCGAACGAAGTAAGTGTGTTGAATAGGTAGAAAAATGAGGGTCTATTCCTCTCTTGTGTCCTCATGACCATATCTGTAAATAATTTGCACTTCCCTTAATCCACGACAGCAGGGTTTTGCTACAGGAGGGTCACAGTGCCAACATCCCGAGGTGGAGGGAGGTATGGATTGGTGCTGTTGTTTAAACCAACCACTTTGTGCCGATAAAACCCTAAATTTCTTTAATGACTTTGGTGTTAAGGGAGGACTGCATAGTTTCTTTCTTCTCTTTATTTCTTGGACAAAGATTTGCTTAGTCCCAAAGTACTTGATTAGTTGTCAGATTTTATATGACTACAAATCCCTTAGAACTTGAAAAATAGGTTTTTTTTTGAAGCTTCCTCCGTCAGATAATTATTTCCACCATCTTCCACTCTTTCCAAAAATCTGCTGACAAATTTTATCATTTCACCGGACCGCTGCTGACTGAGCACTAGGCAGATACCCAATGAAATGGTTTATTGTCAAAGGAAAAATATTTCCCGTCATTGGATGGTAAATAATGATGTAATCCCCGAGGTTTGGCATCTCAAAATCTTTCTTTTTAAATGTTGTGATCTAAAAAAAGAAAGACTACGGCTTCACAGTGAGGCTAAATGCAACAACCAGCAGACCAATCCGCCACCCGATGGTTGCAGTTGCAAAGCACCGCCTTCGAGGCGTGAGTTATAGCCAAATAAGATAATATTCATCCTCTGGAGGCCTACAATACGCAACTCTCCACCCAGCATGGCCCACCTAAAAAGTTTTGCTGTCCTGTGAAATCCGCCCGAATAAATGTACACGGGTTGTTGGTCTCAGGATGGCTGGAATGGGATTGCACGAAGTAGCAAAATTTGGCAAACTACAAAGCAACCCACAAAGCGCAAGTCACAGGGTGACTGCGCTAACCAGGCACAAACATAGGATACGACTGTTGATTGGCTACCAAGCGAAAAGCAAAAATTTTGTGAAGGCAGACTGCTTGGCGCTGCTCTTGAACAACATTATGAAATGACTTTGGTCTTCCCAAAGCCTCATAAAATACTTAATCTCTATGAAACCATTTCGAGCGCGTTTTAATCACCTAGGTATATCTAATTAAGAAGCACGCTTTTTGGGTAGTGGTGAAGAAAACCAACCCATATGAAATTAAAAAGCTGAACCCATATAAATTTGCGTGATTACTTTTGGACGGGATCACTCTCGTCCTGTAAAGCAAGGTTCTCACCTTTTATACCTCCCAACATGGAGCTCATCCGATGATGCTAGAAGGGAAAAGTGGAAGAGAAGATTATGTTGGACTATTTAGTAATCCTATTTTACGAGATGATCGTGACAGTAAAGTTAGGGTATTTGCGTAAAAGCCGCACGTTCGATTGTGCCACTCAATTTTTTGCAGGATTTTCTCAGCATGTCGATGGTTCCGCTTTAAGGTAGTCACTTAGTCCATTTTTGCATTAAGGCAAACGGAATGATTTTACGAGGATGCCGAGTTTGAATATGCGCGAAATGGGCCCGTAAACGCGCTGAGCAATTTAAACTAAAGAAGGCAATAATTTATACCCCTTTGTAAGTGAAATAAATACAGATTTTTCCGTTTTGCGTCAGGTAAATAAATTCTGCTGGGCGAGATTAAAACACCGTCACTTCAACCGTCCAGCATATATTTTGACGAAAGAATATGAAGAAGTTGGTAAATTTTTATTGAGCAATCGAATGGTTCTTAGCGAATAACCGCTATGGGCCACTTCGGGATTGAATTCTAAGGCCAAGGAACTAAAGGATTTGCTGGGTGCGCTTCAGGACTTCTAGAAGTCAAATGTAGGCGACCCCCTAATTATCTAACAAGAGTGATTTGTAATAAATAGGGCCAATTTATAGCACACTTCTTGGTAACGATACTAATTGGCAAAACTATATTGTTGGACTGAAAGTTTATTAACTACGCCTTTAAAGTTGTCGGTATCTATTTGCGATCCTAGATCGAGGCACTACACGCGGCGGCACATTACATGGCGGAGAAATTTGGTCAGGGTTCAGGCGCCTACGAAAAGTGGCGCCAGTGGTTCCTCCCTGTTTGTCACCCCATTCGGCGTAGGCAAAACATTTTACGGCGCTTTGAGATCGAATACCGTGTCAATGTCCAGGACTACGAACCCGCAATGTAGGTTTCTGCAGTTTGTAAGCAAAAGGGGAAATCTATAAGACAAAATTGCTTGTCGAAGTCTCGTCCTGCCGTTCTACAACATTTCTTCCTTTAGTGCGGAGAGGTATCAAGACTTCAGGTTTTCATTCTGCTCCACACAAGTTAAATTTAATGGTGTAGTATCGCCACCATTAGAGATGAACCACAAACTGTCTAAAACGCCCGCATAACGGTGTGCACAATCTAAACAACTAGCACCCTCCCCCCCCCCCCCCCGAAATGAGGAAGTGTGCACAAAGACCGCCACACTGGTAATCCAGATGACTTGCTTATGCGATCTTGAGAGAGGCTCTTAGGGCTTGACGCAATCACCACACCTTTCCTCGTGTTGCTTTATCTCCAAAATCCACCCGCCTCATCACACAATGACTTTGGTTTTTTTCGCAAAATCAGACAAAAGAACATTATAATGCTGCTGGATAGAATTAACCCATGACCAGGGTCCTTTGCCCCCTTCTCACACCATCACCACGGGACATACACCCGTGATGACCTCAAAAGCTTGCCGCCGTCGTTTCATCGTAAGGAGTACCCTCTTATTTTGCAGAAAAAAAAGTACGGGCGGACGGAGCCTAATTGCTCACTTTTGGTGTAAAATCACCTTCCAACATTGTGTCAAGCCCGGAAGATTAATTTTGCTTCCTCGTTTTTTTTTTGCCTTCAATACCAGGCGACCAATGGCAAAAATGATTCGAAGGAACATTCGACAACTTCTGCACAAGGAGTATGCTCCTATCAACAATAGGATTTGGCACGAAAAATTGGGCCAACTGCTCATACAAAAGAGTAGAGTAGGTCTTCTTTCAGAAGCTTGCCTTATTGAAATCACAAATATTCCCAGCACTGTGTCTTGAGCACACCGCGGCGAGGTTCGGTGGAATGGAAGGTGTTTCATTTGTTAGGTCGGATTTGAAAAGAAACTTCTCACCTTCTCACCGTAAGTAGGTCCACGAGGTGTTGAAAGACCGCTAATGTAAGTGAGGTAATTTGTCCTTCATGTTACCGGCGTGAATGCCGGAATCGTGGAAGACCTCGACCGTATCTGACATCACCTCAGAGTAGATGGACACCAATTGTGGAGTAGGAGAGAAGGATGCGTCAGTACTTCCACGTAGTTCACATCTACCAGGCAGTCATTCGCTTCATGTGACCTACATCGTCGCCTACAAGAGAGTGAGCTTGAGATTGCCAAACTTTGACGTTGTGCAGACAGCAACAGCGATTAGGACAAGAGACGAGGAAGATTCTCATTTGCCCCAAGTGTCCCTTCACTGATTGACCCTCTAGACGGTTTATTGCTGAACCATTTGACACCGATTTACGACGCACGCAAGGACGGCTGCATGTACACCTCGTTTATACCCACGTGACAACGGAGCACGTGACGCCTCCACGTCTGCGTATTGTCTCGAATAAGACGTGCACACACTTGTAAATAGACATGGGTCTCCACCTATGCTAGGTCGATCTAACGGACCACATTAAGCGTCTGGAAGAACGTGAGAGGCAGAGACAGACGGAACTACTTCAAAAGGGTGTGATCAAACAGGAGATCTACGATCAGGTGTCCACAGCAAAAGTCACCGCGAAGCACAAAGTCCGTCGAAGAAAAGCCGGTAAAAAGGGCAGTCCAACGACAACAAATTTGTTGACACATCTTGATGCATTCAACACCGCCACAGTGGCACCTGATTTGGATAAATTGGTGAGTTAAAAACTGTCCCAACGTATGATGTCTAATTGGTCGAATTGAATTGCAGAAAGCTACAGTAGCGACTCGACAGATTGAGCTGAAGAAGAATGAATTAACCTCCGACCAGGATGTTGACACATCAGTTTCACTCCAATTGCTGCAAGAGTGGAAGTCGTCGCTGCCAAGTCGTGGATCTAAGCACAAAATCTTAATCCCTCTAGAGAACGATTGTCAACGTGACTTGGCACTACTTGAGGCGCCGATCGAGTCTACGAAAGGTGAGGTGACTTCGGATGAGCAACGCTGGGAAGATTGGGTGACAAATGAGGAAATCAGTTCGGAGGACAGTGGACGGATCCATGAAGATGGACTTATTCCTCCAGCTCCCGCTGTAAGATCGAAAATTAGACCGGTTAAATACGATGCTGAAGACGGACCGGCTGTCAATTTCTCCCCTCTTGTAGGAGATGAAAGAGCTGTATAAAAGAGCTCAGAAAATACTCAACACTCCCTGTTTCGTGAGGAAGAAACTGCCAACAAAGCCACCATCACCTGAACGCGGCCACAGATAACTCAAGTTACTTCACTCTTTCAAATTCCACATTTTTGTTAAAGAAGGAAATAAAATGCAAATTGTTGTACTAGATGCAAGCCATACAACCGCACACACACACACACACACACACACGGAGTATTGTCAAGGTAGTGGGTTCCACAATAAGCAAACCAAGAAGAAAGAAAAGGGCTTTAAAAAATAATAAAAACGATTTTAACAAACCCATCGCCAAAATAATCGTGGCAACCAACCACGGTGGTGCAGGAGGACGATAGGTGGTAAAGATGGTGTTGTTAAGGAGAGAATTAGAATGGCAGAGATTTAAGGGAATAGAAATTAGATAGAGTAGAGGGGGGATGAAAAAAAAGGGCTACCCAGACTTGGGTTTACCGCGTTGGTTACGCGGTCTCATTGGAGCTGAATGATCAACTAGCGCCTTTTTTGGAGCTGTTGTCACGTTTGTGACATCTGCGAGATCCCCCGCTGGCACAGTGACTTGTACATTCTTCTGCGAATCAACGTCCCCAGCAGTCGGGGCAGGCTTTTTGGAATCCCAGTGCTTCACAGGCCACTTGGTGGTGGCAGGAGAATCAGTGGCATTGGTTGAAGCAGTTTTTGCAGTATCGGACTCATGCTTTGAAGGCTGCGGTGTATCACCAGATTCGCTTACCGCAAGTTTGGTTGGTTTTTTGCCCTTCTTTGACAATCGTTTTTTTTGAAGTCCCCTTTTCACTTGCGCAGAATCCCCACCTTTAATTGACACTTCACCCTGATACAAAGGCTTTACACCCACTGATTTAATCTTATTCTCATCCTCATCCTCGGTCGCCTCCTTTTTAGCTCCCCGAGCTTTGATGGGGCAATCTGTGGAAGCAAGAGACTCCGAGACCTGAGATGTTAACGCAGTGACCGCCGCCGGTTCAGACTCAAAGTCGTCAGGATTGACGGATTCAGGCTCAGAGGAGCCTCGACTATGCTTAATTGCGGGTTCAGAAATTGACACATCCGCGGATGTTGAAGGCAGGCGCTTGCGGTAGCCGAAGAAGCCATCTGGAGCCTCAAACTAAAGAAAAAAAATATTACACATTAAATCGTCATATATAATTAAGGTGAGGACAAGAACGATGTAGCAACTAAGTTACGACTCACGTTAATGCGGAAATCCTCAATTCGTCGATACTTCTTGAGAAGCTCAGCAATGCGAGGGTCCAGTTCGGGCTTTTGTCTACCGTAATGCAGAAAAGCCCAGAACTTCTCTAGACCGTACAAATGGCCAGCATCATAGTCCCTAAGCGTTTCCTCCTATAGCACAAAATCGGCTCCAGTTGTATGAGACATAGTAGAGTTAAAAAACAGTAGTATTTAAAAAAGCACCTGAAAGTCTTTGAAAAGGGTAGGTAGGAATCTACGTTCCAGACCGTAGGAGTAGAATCGGAAGAGACATTCAATGCCATAGCGATAGCCGACCTCAGCATCTGACCTAGCCAGCTGTCTGAACTCGCGATACATCTTGCTGAAGAAGTTGTCTCGCAAGAAGAAGGACCAAAAGCGATAAAGGGTGTTCATCTCCTGTGATTTGCCCGCACCACAACGCTCCCTGTCGGCCAAACAAGCAGCACGGTAACGCATGTAGTCCTTTGAGGTGTAGCCACCCGCCTTCAAAACCGATTGAGTGGTCATGTTGTTGCGGAAGTTGGGTGCGAAATTGTTTACCGAATGAGCTGTGGAGGCACAGAAGGAGGTGGCATGCTTTCGTCGGCCTCGGATTCTTAAAGAACTTGCCCTTGTTGCTTCCTGATCCTCTAACTGATTACCAGTGGTGTTATGCGAGCGCACTTCTGCCCCACTTGAGGGATAACGTGACTGGCTGCTAATTATCACCGTTGTTCCAGAGCAGCAAAAATCACTGTAATTGAAAGGTAAATAAGAGATAAAAGTGATATCCTCCTCCTTCTCTTCACTTGCACAAAGGGAGTTGTCAACTCACCGGCCCATCGACACAACAGTCTTCTCTTTGTCCTCCTCAACGGCTATGTCTGGTACAAAATTAAAAACACTTTTATCACCCTCACAGAAGGAAACACTAGATACACGTGGTCCTCTGCTGGAGGAGTGACGAGGCCCCTTTCCACTATGTCCGCTAGGTTTGTCGATATCAAAGGCAAAACCGACATCCAATTCGTCACGTCGACGTCTGCCCCCAGCACCGATTTTGACAGGGTAGAAGCCGACCACACGACGCGGAGTTCTAGGAGTTGGTAGATGTGATATTTTTTTCGGTGATTGGCCAATCTGTTCTTCCGCCTTCGAAGCGGCCATTGAGACTTCATTGATAAGAGCATCGACAGCAGCTTTTGCAAGGTGGAAAGATGCAGACTGTTGATCTTCAGCAGTAGCAGAGTTATCCTTGTTGCCCACTTGGAAAACGGGGTTCCACTGAGCCAATTGGACGTTGGCAGGGTAATAAATAATTGGTTGAGCAACGAATGGAGGAGGTTCAACTATGCTTGAAGGATAAAAGAATGGGTATTCCTTTATTTCAGTGGGTTTCTTCTCGTCAATGGATTCTCCGGGATTTTCAGCTGGCAACTGTTCGCTTTTTGCGGGGTGAATCGCAGCGGAAGGTGGCACTTTATCTTCAGCGGCAAGTTTTAGAGTAGCAAAATCTTCGTCCGATAAAAGTTGAACCTTGAGATGATATGTAGGAAATGAGGATATGTTGAGAAACCTACCTTGCTGGGCTGGCTGATAATGTGATGATCGTCTAGACTACCAAGGTCGGAGAAGGAGCTATTTCTGGAACTGAGATAGTCGTCAAAGTCGTAGTCAAAATCAAATCCCAGGCGAGTGTATGATGAGCGACGTTGACGTCGCACACTACTCTGATAAACCTCCAAACCATGCTTAATCTCCTGCAAATGCTCTGCGTGAGTTTTGGCCCTAAAATGAGTAGATTTAAGCGAAAGTGAGACCGGTGAAATGAACAAACCTTGACTGATAATCGGGATTGGGGTGTCTATCACCGCTTGGATGCTTGCTATAAATTCGCTGCGACACACCGCCACCCTCCGATTTCTGCAATTTCTGAGGGGTAACGTGGTGACTGTGAGAAAAGCCCTTCGAACGAAGTTCAGAAACAGGAGCAATAGCAGAAGTAGCTGTACCAGAAGCAGTGCTTGACTGTTGTGAAGCCTCTTCTGGCGCCTTAGATGTAAGAACAGTAGTCGAGGGATCCTCTCTTTCAATTGCTCGCTCTGGTAAAATGACGACAAGGTACTTCAAAAGATCTTCTTCATCTATATCCACAGAATCAGAGCTGGACGAAACTGCGCGCGATCGGGACTGAGCCTACAAAAGAAGATGGGGCGTAAGCGCAGTTTTCTTCAAACTTGTGGAAAATGGGATTAACAACGCAACAAAGGTGTTACAGGGCGTGAAATTCTTTGAGCTTCAGCATCGCTTTCATAATGAGAACGATTGCCAGCCCGCTTGGATCGACGGTCAACTGTTTGCCAGCGTCCTTCTTGTGGTTTTTGCTGCTGCTGCTGTTGTTGGGTATTCTGTTGTTCAAGAAAGCAGGGTTCTTCTTGAGCTGATGTTAAAATCACTTCCGGAACCGGCGGTTGGGGAGACTGCTGCAGCGTAATTACCGGCATTGGGTTAGGTTGATCAGGAAATTGTAGCAATGGGTGTGGTGCGGCGGGCTCAGGCAATTCTAGAAGGCAAATCAGTAAGGAAAATAATAAAAGTAGACAAACTCATTGTGGCAGATATAAGAGAGGGAAATGAGTTAGGATTAATCCGGCGTATTTTACTCATAGTTTCATCGAATTCGACAACCGTGCTTGCAGCACAAGCCTAAAAAGGATTTCAGGAGTTGAGAATGATAACGCAGCTTACTTTAAGAACATCTTCACGTTTTGCTTTGTGCTGGGCCATGCGAGGAAAACCTAGGATTACATCAAGCGGGATAAAGCGATCGTCTTCCATGAGACCCTGCAGATAGGCGTCTTTACCAAAGTTTGCGTCCCCAAAATAATATTCCACTTGTAATCTGATTCGATTAAGACGAGTAGATGTGCAAAATGCACACTCTGGATGGTGACAACAACAAGTAACAGGGGTACGAGTGAGGCCCCTGTAGTAATTAACAATACTAGGATCTATACAGCAATAAATATACCAAACATTTACCAAATCCGAGTATGGGTGCATGATGGCAAACTTCATAACCCACGAAATTTGGCCCAATGAGAAGGCAAGAACGGTTACGATCACCCACTGTTGCATTCGAAATAACAGACGAACGATTATTATCGTTACTGTTACGACGAGACGTACGAGGCCCACTTTGGGCACCATCGCTAACACCAATTGACTGGCTATCCTCCTTGAATGCTGCTTTTTCTAGCCCAACATCATCTTCGAATCTTTTCCAATTCTTTTATGTCGCCGTTTAACTGGCGCTGCTTCCTGCACAGTCTTCGCACTGACTTTGCCCAGTTCTGGCCACTCCTCCTCTACAGGTGGATTCACAATATCAACCATAACTCTAATGAAACAATATTAACCACAATGCCTGATGTATTTACAAAAACGAACGGACTGCACAATTGAAGCAGCACACGTGCCCCAATATTAAACATACAATGATCGAATTAGCTCATCTAAACGAACGCTCCTTCAAATAAAGTACACACAAATTTGCGTCTCAGGTAAATATGCCTGTTTGCACAGCAAAGTTAGCGAAACAATTTGCTCTTTATTTGTATTAGACATGGGTTTGTGATTAGTTGACGATTCAGTATATATACTATTGGTATTAGGGGAATTCGCGTTTACTTTAAAACCTCTTACTTCTAATCCATATAAACTGTCTACTTCTGGCAAAATGCTGTTTTATCAGACAGGGCATTGCTGGAACTGCAGCCCAACATTAGCTTACCCATCCCCACAAAGTGCCCTTCTCTCTGACAAATTCTGCCACCATCTCTTTCTCGTCGTCCTCAATCCCCCTGCAATAAGTTGGCTGACTGGATAGAGGACGCAGTGCTCTCCAGGAGATTGACCACAACTACTACGAAGTGGGACTCGCACCCACTGAACCCCTCACAGCTGGGAAGGTGTATTTAGCCGCACACGCATTGCGTCACCGACTCCATTGCGATTATTCAGAGCAACACCCACCCACAAACACCCATTTCTCACGCAGCCCTCACATGCACAGCACCACATCTACGGTTCGTCGACTACGTGCCAACACAAGAACACAAAGCACTGGAGGGAACCAACACACGACCCACACTCCCTCGCAAGAAATCACTCCCACCCACCCGGAAGACTAACTCAAAATCAAAATCACCAACGTTTATTTGTTTAAAAATAGTATTCTATACAAGTACAAGACAACACTCTACTTTTTCAACTCATTCAAAGCAATCTTTAAATCATCTTCTATCAGGAAATCCCTCTTTGCCAACTGAGCCTTCAGTTTTGCCATTTCCAGCAGGTTTTCCAAGTCTGCACCACTGCAAACAAGGCAACAGAAGTGGTCCGACATCCATCGTGGATGCACGCATACACACTCACCCACCTCACGCAATCACTCACCTCATTCCATCAGTGCGAGAATCGGCCGCAACACGTTGCAGCACCTCTGTTCCACCTTCAATTCTTGGAGCAGTAGCCCCACGAGTGCACGCGGAGAGGACGTCAGCTCGCTCGCATTGAGACACCGGAGGCGCAACGCTCAAATGCAGACCCAGGCGTCCTGGTCTTAAAACTGCTTCGTCAATCATATCCTTCCTATTCGTCGCGCCCACTACAAACACCCTCGCCTGTCGGTGCTTGTCAATTCCATCCAACTCCACCAATAACTGGTTCACCACACTCACTCGACTGCCTGCATTTCCAAAATAGGCCAATTAAACTCTCCTATCCACCCACCTACAGTGCTGTCCATCCAAATGGCCACGTACCAGAGGTCTCATCTACATCTCGTCGTGGACAAATGGCGTCGATTTCGTCGAAAAAGATGAGGCAAGGTTGACACGCGCGTCCTCGCTCGAATATTTCCCTGATTCGGCGCTCGCTTTCACCTTGGAACTTGTTCAGAATCTCTGGACCCTTCACAGAGAGAAAGTTGAGTCCAGCGGTGTTGGAGAGGGCCTTGGCAATCAGTGTCTTGCCACACCCTGGAGGTCCTTCCAACAAAACACCTCCAGATCGCCTTCGCAGAGCTTGCGCTCTTTCCCAATCGTCTATGAGAAGCTAGGAGACATTTACGAAGAGTAATAATGAACTAGTTAAGGCACACCGACTTTGAGGGCTCCAGTCCTCCGTCTATGTTTCTAGACAGTGTCCAATAAAGGAGAAAGTTCGGATTTGAAAGAGTCAGAACTCTGGAGACTGATTCAATACCACCTTCCTCTGTGTCAGATATAATTCAGAGAGACCGCTAAGCAACGCCGAAATGCCAACAAGGCATGAGAGAAGACTGGTCACAAAAGCCAACTCCATGAAACAACCTCTTTCGTCTTCAGACAAGGAAAAGCGATTCTCCTACGTAGTGGGTTCAAAACGTCCATTGGTTAGGAGAGATACAATGCAAATGGACCCAACAAGGCCGTTTGCACAGAGGAAGTGACAAGCAAACACGCTAGCAACTACTGTTAAACGGAACTCCCTCTTCGGTACAAAATCATCGCGGAATCCACATTCCTCCAGCATATCCGACTACTTTGTGGAGACCGAAGCAGAAGGAGCACCAAGAATGGGAGTTAAAGGAAGAAAGGAAGGAAGGAATGAAGGAAGGGGGATGGTGAGGAGACCCCTCAGTCTCCCCGCCAGTTGTTAATAAACCTTACTCTATATTCAACTAGAACAACGTACAGTCAGTAGGGAGCGATGGTAAGGAAGAATAATGGCATTACTTGAACCGAACGTACCATAAATTGATTGTGCAGATGCATCTTAGTCTCCTCAAGGCCACCAACATCATTCCAAGTCACATCAGGAACTGTTACGAATTCTGCAGTATTTTTAACCGCCGGTGTGACTTGAGTCAAGGCCACATCCAACACATCTCGTGTCACTCGACCCAACGACTTGCACTACAAATAAAAGTTAGAAACGAACGAAGGTCACGCTCATGAACTCACCCAGTCACTTTACTGAAAGGCAATTAGCCACGCACCGAACACACTTCCTCCATCGAGCAACACCGCCTTAGACGCTTTCACTCATGCTAAATCGGCAGCAGACCTTACAGAACGATCGTTTTGCCTCCAAGTTCGCTGAATTCAGTGCCCTCGTTGGCGCGTTTAGAGCCTACGTCTCGCCTATCATCGCGATTACAGGGATCCTCGGAAATGGCCTCATCATATACCTTTTTTGGCGCGAAAAACCACGCACCCGATTCTCCGTATTCGCTATCAGTTTGGCCTTAGCTCACACCATCTCCCTTGTCATTAATACCATCATGGATGACTTCCTCGGCAGAGGTTTGCACTACGCAACTGGCGGTGCATTTTCTGTCAAATTGGATGCCACCTCAGAGGCAAGTTGCAAATTGCTGGAGTACTTGCCCAACACCATGTACTTCACCGCCTCTTACCTCGTTGCGGTCTTCTCCATCGACCGCGTACTTACTACCTACCACCCAATTCGATTTCACGCTTGCCGCTATCGCAAACAAGCCATTCTGGCCTGTCTCATTGTCGCAATTCTCGGCGCCAGTGGCAATATCCCCACCCTCTTCGTGCAAACTTTAAGGCTGGAGACGGAAGGCAACATCGCCTGTCGCATGGACCGAAGCAGAGCTCTGCTAGCCGACTTCGCCATCGTTTTCACTACCATTGTGACTTTCTTCCTACCCGTGATAATAGTCCTCGTGCTCAATCTCATAATCATACAACAACTCTGGAGGGCCCATCGGTGGCGTACAACGATGACAGGTGGCGCAAGAGGTGCTCAGGGGATGGGACGCATCACCGGCCACTTGGCAATGACCACGTGCTTCCTCCTTCTCTACCTTCCCCTCGGCATCGTCGTGCTCATGCGCCTTCATGTCACCGTCTGTCTGGGTGAGGAAAACACACCACGAGCCATCCGTATCATCAATATGAGCAAATTCCTCTCCTCTCTGAAGGACGTCGCCTACGCAGTCAATTGCCTCATCTACGCCATCTTCCTGCCAAAATTTCGGGCTCGTCTGACCAGTCTTTGCGGCTATCACCGACCACACAACTAATGTTATTAGGAAAAATGACTTACCAAAGTAAAAGGACTTCTAACCTCAACCAATGTTGATGCTTCTTCCTCTGACCTGGACATTAATTCCATTCGAAGAGCAAGAACTAGCCGAATTAAGTCACCCGCTTCGTAGCCTGGTGTGCGATGAGCGATTTCTCCTAGAGTTAGATCCTCCGCCAATACGAGCTGTGATCCCTCCTTCATGGAAGGCCTATCCCCCTCTTCTAGGCTTGAAACCTCGTCCACAAGAAATTGGGAAAGCAGACTACAGGAGTACATGCCAGACATAGTTAATGCGATTAAATGTAGTAGAGCAATGCAGAAAACGAAGGGTCTAACCTTAACCGACACGATTCTTCCATCATGCCAAAAGTGAACCTGTGCGTAAATAAGTCTGTAACGTCTTGAGGAAGACTCGCTATCAGTCTACGAGTCTCACCAACAACGACTATGCCAGTGCCAACGCATTCTACAACAATGATAAACATCCAATACCTCACCTATTAAGAGTTCGTTCTTCAACAAACAGACGACACGAAAAGTCCCAACGGGAACGTTCTGCTTTTCCATACTATCAATGGCATCAATGTGGAGAATGCAGGGCGCATTGATCTGGAAGGCAGTAGAACACGTTACAAAGACGCAAACCTTGGCCTGATTGAAAATTTCGCGCCAAGTACGAATAGTTGGAGTAACAAGACCTACAGTAACGGAGAGATAATTCACTTGGAGGGTCTACAAAATGTGGGACGACCAACTTAAAGTACCCCTGCAATGGCCTTGATAAGTGTGGTTTTGCCACAAAAGGGTGGACCATTAATCAACACTGTGGGCCAAACGTCCGGTAGATTCGACGGCTTTAAGTGACACTTGAAAGCAAGTTGCACTTGTTTCTGGTTAAAAGACAATAGAAGAACAAAGCATGATACCAACCAACAAAGCTGGAGGCACCGTGTTGACAATGTCATCGATTTTCAACGTCGGAATGCAGCAAGAGATGTCAATTTCTACAAAGGACAACTAGAACAAAGCCTTCTACAAACTCAGCACAGATGACAGTCTCAGTTTCTTTGGAACAGGAGCGCTCGGTTCCGTATCCATGGCATCACTCCCACCAGGAGGACGTTTTTGGTCGGTTGACACCTCAGGAACCTCTTCCACCATCATTTCTCTAGCACTTACAAGCCTTAAAGCTACTCGTAACAAGAGCAATAAATGTCAACAAACCTTTTAGAGCATCTTTGCGCCAATTTCTAACATTATCTTTGGTACACGTCGTTTTCCTGTCAGTAATTACGAAATTTATGAATTCTTGCAAAGAAGAAGGGTCCTCCGCAACGGCTATGAACTTATCTGAGATAACAACATATGCTTTATCTTACGGCCTCCGCCAAGGGAATTAGGAATTTGCGTTGCACTTGGGGAGCGATATAACCCTGAGAATCATTCATCATCATCGCCGGCGTGATGCTACAGATTAAAGTCTCCCATAACCGATGTCACCCAATCACGTGCGAGGTGGGACTAAGGTTAAGATCGTCATCATCATCACAAAAGCGCTTGTTTTGCGATATTGGCTAGGGTTTTGTCCATTTACATTGCTCTAAAATTAGGCATTTGCAAAGTAGCTAAGAGAGTGCCATGCAAAATAGGCATGGAACCACTAGCAACTGAAGCACGTATGGGATCAATGAAAGTCAAATGCCACTTTACTGATTCTATTTTTACTTTGTTATATAATGATAAATGCTCTTCAGCTAGTTGACTGGACAGACATGAGTGCTGTTCTACATGTCTTGTTGCAGCACTCTGAGCCTTCCTTGAAGACGAGGGTAAACGTAACGCCGTGGTATGGACCCGTGGTCAGCCCACCCGGAGAAGGTACAATGGCCAAGGCACGAAGTAGTCTTTTACCAAAATCGGGAGTTGGACGACCAACTTATTACATCTTTGTTGGTTTACTACTTCCGGTTCCACAACCTTGCATCCCAACAGTGGTAAGAATGCCTAAATTCTTGAGAAAGAAGCCAGAGTTTGCTTCCTTTCTGAGTCTGGTACCATCAGCTCAGTTTGGATACTCGCTCGATCTACCCTTTCGTGGCCTAAAGTTGTGTTTAAATGATCGTGTTTTACAGACCAGAATTGCCGTGTTTGCATCTGACCTTACAGTGCCGTTGATACCACGGGCACCAAGGTTTGATGTCTTATGCTGTTTTTCTAAATGGAACACTCACCCTGCAATGTACTATCGAAGCTAAATTCCTAAAATAGCATGACTTCGTGGAGATGTGTATGTGGTTGTGGTTCATCGTTGGTGGTGAATGCGAAGGATCCAGGAAAAGGTGTACTTCGTTGAGGAAAGTTAGAATGCGGAGTTGTCACGGTAGCTATTAAAAGAGGGTTGCATGAGTGCCTAAATCAACTTGTGAAGTATTTCTCTTCTCCCCTTATTTCTCACTTCCAATCTTTCATCATTTCGACAAACGAACAGATGTTAGGTTGACGAATTCCCTCCCTGAAGTCGTTGATTTGATACACCCAAACTCGATGCTAGTAATCAGTGGCAAGACATGTCGATTAGTCAACATCATTGCTTTCACTAGTGGAGAGGCATGCTACTTCCTGACCTGCACTCTGCACCTCTTCCACCCCATCCCTCCGTCATTCAGCCGTAAAACGGAGGGATATTTACCATCCTCGATGCCGTTTAGACCTTCTAGATGTGTGCTCTTTTCTGGTTATCAAATAGACGATTGTGCTTTGCGGCGGGGGTGGAATCACCATCTTCGAGCAGCCCAATTCCAAGAGCGATGACCTACTTTGCAAAGGAAAGAGTAGTCTTCACGGAAGTGTCTGTGACGTCTTGGCGTTCGTTCGCGTCATCGCACCTAGTGCCAACGACAACAAGGTACCACGAATTGATGGACCAGCCGACCGAGAGAACGACACCGTCTCCGTGATTAGGGTCAAAAAGTATCAATCTTTACCAACCTGTCATTAATTTTCCACAATTTTGGTCTTTGCATAATGCGGCATCGGGCGTATCTTGTCATGGATGTCAGGCCCATGACGAAACAGGTGCTATTCTCGCAGTGAACTGAGCATTAAAGTCGTTTTGTTTGTGTCCTACTTATATGTGTTTAAGTAGACTGACAACCAAAGTACAAGGCGGAACGGTGAAGGTGGTTAGCCTTCCACAATGTTCCACTACCATTCTGACCTGCTTCCAGTGGGCAGGGAGCGACCTGGACACTTACTGTGGTCCGCAAATATCGCCTAGTGGACTACCCGCTAACCGCATCCTCAGGATCGTGAGAGCTCGCGTCAAGACTAGTCGGTTTGACTCGTAGTAAAGGAGCGACCCGCCAACACCACCAAAGCCAAGGGCTGGATGACCTCCCAGGTATCCACGACTCCACGCAGAGAGCAACCTCACAAAGGCACTTCACGTTCGACGTTGTGGCGCCACCGTCGCCCAACCGACACCTCCCAACCAATAGACTACTGCGGAGGCTCAAACTTCAACAGCCCAACCGATAGCCCGACACCTCACTGCACCGCAACGATCAGACGACACGACAGTAAGTCTTTACTTAAAATACAAATACATTACACCAAAGAAAGGGGGGAGAAGCATACAAACGTGTCTGGAAATCATCGAGTGGCAGAGCAGAAACGCATTAGTCAACCTCCTCAATAGTGGGACCACGGCCACCAGAACTCGCACCACCCATGCCACCACCACCAGGCATGCCTCCTGGCATACCTCCAGGCATGCCACCAGCACCACCTGCCTCCTGGTACATCTTCGTGATGATGGGATTGCACACACTCTCCAACTCCTTCTGTCTGTGCTCGTACTCCTCCTTATCCGCCTGTTGGTTCCCATCCAACCACTTGATCGTCTCTTCACACTTCTCCGTTATCTTCTTTCGATCCGACTCGCTTATCTTATCCTTCACCTTCTCATCTTCCACTGTCGACTTCATGGTGAAGGCATAGCTCTCCAACCCATTCTTGGCTGCCACACGATCCCTCTGCCTTTCATCCTCTTGTTTGAACTTCTCGGCATCATTCACCATCCGCTCTATCTCCTCCTTCGATAGGCGACCCTTGTCATTGGTGATGGTGATCTTATTCTGCTTCCCTGTCGACTTGTCCACTGCCGACACGTTGAGGATGCCGTTAGCATCTATATCAAACGTCACCTCAATCTGAGGCACGCCACGGGGCGCTGGTGGGATACCCGACAGCTCAAACTTGCCCAGCAAGTTATTGTCACGCGTCATCGCGCGCTCGCCCTCGTACACCTGAATCAGCACACCCGGCTGATTGTCTGAGTAGGTGGTGAAGGTCTGTGTCTGTTTCGTTGGGATTGTTGTGTTGCGTTTTATCAGCGCAGTCATCACACCACCTGCTGTCTCCAGACCCAGCGACAGTGGCGCCACATCGAGCAGAAGCAGATCCTGCACCGCTTCCGACTTGTCGCCAGTCAGAATGGCTGCCTGCACCGCCGCACCGTAAGCAACCGCCTCGTCTGGATTGATGGACTTGTTCAACTCACGCCCATTGAAGAAGTCTTGAAGCAACTTTTGGACCTTCGGTATACGCGTTGAACCGCCCACCAACACTATATCGTGAACGGCACCCTTGTCCAACTTTGCATCCCGCAGCGCCTTCTCAACTGGATCCAACGTGCTGCGGAAGAGATCCGAGCACAGCTCCTCGAAGCGAGCCCGTGTGATCGATGTGTAGAAGTCGATGCCCTCCAACAACGAGTCGATTTCTATGTTCGCCTGAGCACTCGAACTCAACGTTCTCTTCGCTCTCTCACACGCCGTTCTCAGTCGACGGATGGCTCTCTTATTCGATGTCAAATCCTTCCCCCTATGCTTTCGCTTGAACTCCTCCACAAAGTGGCTAACCAGGCGAGAATCGAAGTCCTCACCACCAAGGTGCGTGTCACCGGCAGTCGACTTCACCTCAAAGATGCCATCCTCTATGGATAGGATGGACACATCGAAGGTGCCGCCACCCAAGTCGAAAATAAGTACATTGCGCTCCTTGCCTACCTTCTTATCCAAACCGTAGGCGATGGCAGCCGCTGTCGGTTCGTTGATAATACGTAATACATTCAGACCCGATATCGCACCCGCATCCTTCGTTGCCTGGCGTTGACTATCATTGAAGTAAGCCGGCACTGTGACAACCGCATCTGATACCTTCTTGCCCAAGTACGCTTCTGCAGTTTCCTTCATCTTTGACAGTACCATGGATGAGATCTCCTCTGCGCTGAACTGCTTTGTCTCACCACGATACTCAACTTCGATCTTTGGCTTGCCTCCTGAGTTGATCACCTTGAAAGGCCAATGCTTCATATCATCTTGCACTGCCTTATCGTCAAAACGACGTCCTATCAATCGCTTGGCATCAAATACCGTGTTGCTGGGATTCATAGCCACCTGATTCTTGGCAGCATCACCAATAAGACGCTCCGTATCCGTAAAAGCGACATAACTCGGGGTGGTACGATTGCCTTGATCATTGGCAATAATCTCCACCTTGCCGTGTTGAAATACACCAACACAAGAGAAAGTCGTCCCCAAGTCGATACCAACAGCTGGACCTTTCGACATAGCTTTGTGACAGGTATTGAGGTGTACGCGACCGCCGCAAGTCTATATATCAACCCCAAAAGCGATGTTCTAGAACAATTCCAAAGTGCGCGCAACATACTAGAATGTTCCTAGCCAATCAGAAAGCGCCACACTATCATACTGCTTTCTCATTGGTTGGCAATGCCATAC